GAAAGAACGTAACTCCAGTAGTCATAATTCCCCCCATTCAATTTCAAGACAAAAAAAACTTTTTATAAATTATAATTAATAATCATTTAATTATTTTACTGTGAGAATTAAAAAATAAAAAACTTGACAGATCCAGATCCAGAAACCCAATTTGTCCAAATGCCCCGTTTTATTGCTCTATAAATAATCATCGTCTCCGTTCTCTTCCTACAAAGTCCAATCCGAGTCCCTCTCCTTCTTCCCCTCTCTCTGATTGAAGCTTCTGCGGCTCTGTTAATTGGTCAGCAATGGCGGAAGCTTCAGTCAAACCAACTCCCCTCTTGAAGGATCAACTTGATATCGTCATCCCCACGATTCGAAATCTCGATTTCTTGGAGATGTGGAGGCCGTTCTTCGAGCAGTACCATTTGATCATCGTTCAAGACGGTGACCCGTCCAAGACCATCAACGTCCCCAAGGGTTTCGATTATGAACTCTACAATCGGAACGATATTAATCGCATTCTTGGTCCCAAGGCCTCTTGCATTTCCTTTAAGGACTCTGCTTGCCGATGCTTCGGTTATATGGTTTCCAAGAAGAAGTACATCTTCACAATTGATGACGATTGCTTTGTAAGATTAAGATCTACTTCATTTTGCTAGTTGACTTTCTTTTTTTTTCCCTTTAGTTTTCTTACGCTTGATTTCTTGAAATTACATGTTCTCTCTTGACGACCGTTGTTTTGTAGATCTACTTGTTATACTGAACTTACTTTTTGCTTGTTAATTTCTAATTTTTTAATTTTCTTGTTCTGAGTTCTTCATCCGGTTACTGTTTGAAAAGGGTCAATTCTGGTTCTCTTTTTCGTTCTTTTTTTTTTTAAGATTCTGTTCTTTATTTTCTGAATTGGGCCTCTGGTGATTGATGGCTTCTCTGGTCAACTCCATTCTCTTTCTTGCAAATTATTAACAGACATTGGATTATACATGCTACCTGAGGAACAGATCTTGTGGAAATGCCCCTTTGGTTGAAAGTCGAAACAGTTCTTTTATTCTAGAGAATTAAAACTTCTTTTAATTGAGTACCAAACAGCCAACCCCTTATCTTCTGGTTAATGATGTCATCATCTATCAGTTTATGCTTTTGGTTTGATGGTTATTTAGCGGATGATTTGGTCYTCTGCATATAATGTAACTGCTGCAAAGTAGTTGAGAAGTCCTTGTTACTGGTTCAGATTATGGAAAAAGAAAGTGCTGGTTTTCAAATTTACACAAATATTCCGCATATCTGTCTTGAATCTTGATCTATACTCTTGAAAGATGATCAAATTTTGATGGTTTGTTGTAAATCTATTATTGACAGGTTGCTAAGGACCCCTCAGGCAAAGATATCAACGCGCTCGATCAGCACATAAAGAACCTTCTCTCACCGGCCACCCCACATTTCTTCAACACTCTGTATGATCCATACAGAGAAGGTGCAGATTTCGTTCGTGGATACCCCTTCAGTCTCCGTGAGGGTGTCCCAACGGCTGTCTCCCATGGACTTTGGCTTAACATTCCTGACTATGATGCTCCCACGCAGCTCGTTAAGCCGCGTGAAAGGAACACTAGGTGTGTGCCATTCTTGTTGGGTTTTGTTTTGTTTGCTCAAACCCGATTTGAACAGCGGGAGWAGTTTCAAAATCTTTAGCCTTATCTCTTATTCAACTTCTTTTTAAATCTTGTTTAGGTTTGTAGATGCAGTCTTGACAATTCCAAAGGGAACCTTGTTTCCCATGTGTGGAATGAACCTGGCATTCAACCGTGAACTAATTGGACCAGCTATGTACTTCGGACTCATGGGCGATGGCCAGCCAATCGGACGATATGATGACATGTGGGCTGGTTGGTGTGTGAAGGTATGTAAACCAAAATGCCCCTTTCTCACATATTGAGTCCCAAATGCAGGAGAGATCATAAAGTATTGATTGATGAACTTGTTGTTACAGGTGATTTGTGACCATTTGGGGTGGGGAGTGAAGACAGGGCTGCCCTACATATGGCACAGCAAAGCCAGCAACCCATTCACCAACCTCAGAAAGGAGTACAAAGGGATCTACTGGCAAGAAGACTTAATCCCGTTCTTCCAGTCRGTCGTCCTCCCGAAAGAATGCACGACCGTGCAGAAATGCTACATCGAGCTGTCGAAGCTAGTCAAGGAGAAACTCGGCCATATCGATCCRTACTTYATTAAGCTCTCTGATGCCATGGTCACTTGGATTGAAGCTTGGGATGAGCTCAACCCTTCTGGAGAGGACTCCACAAGCCCTGCCAAGTAAAAGTAGGTTTTTGAAGAACCCAATATGAAGAATGGAGATGYAATAGATTTGATGAGTCTTTTGCTAGTTTTCTTAATACTATTGCCATATTTTTTCCCCCTTCAGTACAACACTTTAAAGCTTAGAATGTTTGCTGTTCTTTGTTTTGTGTATCCTTCTCTGCCAAACATTGAATTTAGCTCTCAATAACATGGGTAGGCTTTATTAATTTGTTGTGCCCCAATGGAATGGTTTATAGGTATTAGCCATTGATGCCATGTGTCGATCTCTGATAGGTTGAGAATATCTCGATATTTGCTAACGAGAAAACAAAATAGTAGTCTTATAGAGTTGAAGTAAGTCAAATGATATATACACATTTTCTTTTATTTAGCTATGATTTAAACATTTCAAAAATCGTCTCTTGAGTGTTCAACACAATCTTTAAATACTAACATTAATTAGTCCTATGTGTTACTAAAAATAGTTAATGATAGGAAATAAAAAGTCAAATGTGAAGAAAATCAGTTGATGGGTGGGTAAAGACATTTTCTTCTAAATTYACGAAAAAATAACATGCCAGGTTGAGTCGTATATTAATACATTTTTGTTTGTTATAAAACTCCTAATTAAGAATTAAGATATGAAAAGACAATAATGAAGATAATTATTTTATTTTTTTTGAGTCGATAAAGGTTAAAGACCTCTTTCAAATTTATGAGAAAATAACATACAAATGTTTTTTTTATTTCCACAATTGTGGATATAGGGATGAAACCATCGAACCTTGAAATAGTAATAAATTCCTAGGCTCGAAATTTGCCAAAATGCAAAATCAATTGATATGCTTATATATTTTTAATTATTATGAGTTTGTTATAAATGATTTATATATATATATATATATATATATATATATTATTGTAAAGGTTTTAAACAAAATATGGCCGAAGGAAATGGAAAATGGGAGGGGGAAACTAAAAAACAATAATAATAAATAAATAACCAACTAAGTAATATAGCCGGACATGGAAAGAAAATGAGACCAAAATGGAAAAACAATTAACGATGAAATTAAAATTTGAAAAAAAAGGCAACAAAAGCAAAGATTTCGCCGTTGCCGGGGATCGAACCCGGGTCACCCGCGTGACAGRCGGAAATACTCACCACTATACTACAACGACTCAATTRTTAAAGAATTAATTTATAACTAAATTATTAAAACAATTTTTATTGCCTTCTCTCTTTCATTTCTTTTCCTACTTTATTTTCAAAATTTCTATTCTACAAATGTTTCAAAATCGTGTTAGATTTTTAATTATAAATTCAGCCAACGTGTTTATTTAGTCCCTAACCAAGTTTCACATTTTTTTCCCTTCTAAATGTTATAATTTCAAACCTGAGATAWCCGTTCCACTTTTTCTTCTTTCACGAGGATTAAGATAAAATCGAGCTTGGATGAAACTAAACAAGATTTGGTAAACGAATACAAAGGTCAAAGGCCGAAGTGAAATTTTGGCCGGAGATTACTAATATTTTTATTTTATATATTATTTGATACCAAACATTGAATTGAAATCTCAATAACATTAGATTTTATTAATTTGATGTCACGTGTCAATCTCTAATAGATCGAGAATATCTTGATATTTGAACTATTGAAYGGAGAGAACTAACGAAAAAAAATAAAAGTCTTATAAAGGTCGAAGCAAGTAAAATGATAGATATACATACGCACACATATATGCATTTTTCTTATTTGGCAATGGTTTGAATGTCTAAAAGATCGTTTATCCAAACTTCAACCACAATCTTTAAATACTATTAYTAATTAGTACTACATGTGGTTGAAAATAATTAAGAATAGGAAATAAAAAGTAGGAAAAGAAATCGATGTTTTTATAATGTTTCTCGATGCGTCAATTTACATTCTCTTCTAAATTCGAGAAAAAATAATATGCAAAGTTGAGTTGTAAATTAATACTTTTTCTTTTTAAATAAATATCAATAGGTTGTTTGTTTGTTAAACATTCCTAATTAAAAATTAGGATATGAAAGGAAAGATGATTATTTTATTTATGTATAGGTGGATAAAATTCTTACTTTTAAATTTATGAGAAAATARCATGTATAATTTTTTTAGTTCGATAAGTGCGGATATAAGGAGAYGGTAATAGATCCTTATCAGTTATCTTCTAAACTATGTTCGACATTGGCGGGCATATGAAATCAGTTGATATATTGATATATTTTTATTTATTTGGACTTTGTTATAAATGTTTTGTTTTTTTAAATATTTCAGATATTTTAAACAAAATCGGGGTGGGGGAAAAGCAAGACAGGATTGAAAAATAAAAAAACAAAGTCAACGAATAAATAACCAAGAAATATAGYCGGACAATGGCAAAATAGAAAAACAATAAACGATTTAAAAGAAAATAATAAAAATCGCCGTCGCCGGCGATCGAACTCGGGTCACCCGCGTGACAGGCGGGAATACTCACCACTATACTACAACGATTCCACCGTTAAATAAACATATTTTAAATATTAATTTTATAGTTATAAGTTATAACCTCTTAATCATTTCTAGTATAATATTGTAAAAGAAACTTCTTGCCAAGTTTAAATTTGTTTTGAAAGTTTGAAGTATTTGTTCTTTTCAAGAAGGTGTTTAAGCTCTCTTCTAGGTTGTCTTCTTTGTTGGCTTTTCGAACTACTTCAAGAATGGAGTTATCTCATGTATCTCTTCCCTTCTYTGTCTATATGCTTATTATCATTCTTGTTTATGTGGGTCGTATTTACCGTTTTGGGTTCTTATTTTTCCTTATCTCTTATGTATTTTCTTTCATTTTTCTTGCAAATATTGTATTTATTTTTTGTTTTATTTTATTAATCGTTGAGTTATGTTTATGTTGACAAKTTTATTTAGTTCTTAATTCTGGAGAAGTTTCAATTTTTTTTTCTAATGTTATAATTCAAACGTGAACATATTAGTCCAAATCCGTAATTGATGAAGATTACTAATATTTTACTTGGTGGATGGACTGTATGCTTGAGTTAGCAACAAATTTTAGTTACGAGATAAAAGAATACATCATATGAATATTGGTGGTTACTGAAGTATTGGTGGGAGTCCGAATAATTAGAAGGATAAGCAATTATTTGACATAAAAGATCAAATACGTGGTAATGAATAAAATAAAGGGAGAACAAAAAAGGAGGGTGGCATATGGCAGGATAACAAAATATATTTAATTTTAAACATTTTATTTTACACTTTTACTACTATTTTATTTAGTTAGTCCTATCATTTGTGTCGTTGTTCGCTATTATTTTATTWATTTAGTCTTGCAGTTTGTGTCATTATTCATTAATTCAATCAAATATGTCACAATAACATTTTTATTCCATTTCCTTAGGAATTTATATCCTTAAATTTTTTCCATTTTCATATATCAATAAAAAAAATTTCCGTTTGTTAATTTTTTTTTACATTAAAAATCTAAAATAGACACTGAATCAAATCAAATTGAACGGTCTGTAATTAAAAAAAAAAAGAAAGAAAGAAAAAAAAACTCACAAATAATACCGAATATTGATTTATTTTCGGAAAAGTATTCATTTAAAATTTCGCTTGTAATAAATAAATAATTTCACGAGTATCTTCCAGACTGCGTGCTAGGTACGAGTACACCAGCCCACTCATTTCTTCGTTCGCTCTGAAGTTCGCCTCAGATCCGATCGTCGACGGAAGGTTCGCACCCAAATTCAAGCCCTGCATTTAGATCTTCTCCTCTAACTTTCGATTTCTGCTGTCGTTTTGCTGTTTTGTGCCCATTTCAGTTACCGAATTCATGTTTTTCCCCTTATTGAACGAAAGATTTCAATGCGTGGTTGTTTAGAGCGTGTTGTTGGTTGATTGTTTACCGATGTACGATTGTTTATTGAGTTTAACTTGCATTCCCTACCCAGATCTACTTGGTTCTCTTGTTTACCGCAGGAAGTGCGGGGTTGGAACTGTTCTCTTGCTTTAATTTGAGATCGAGGTGTTGTGATGTTTGTCGGTCGGGGTTTTTACCTAGTTTTCTTCACATCACCCCGACCTTTCGGTTGCTGCAATTATCAGATCTTGGTTATCCATTGTTACTAGAGGGTTGGGCTTGTTTGGCATGTCTAATTTTGTTAAATCGTGAGAGCGCTTGTGTTTCTTAATGGTACCAAAGGGTATTATTTGACGATCTAAGGTACATGTCTACATTTTAACTGTCTCTTACTTTTAGGTGAAGCGATTAAATTATGAGTTGGGTTTTCAGGGAAGAAGTCCGGTGGAGGATGTGCCTCTTTTATTCCAGGGCAAGTCTTTGTCAATAAATAGAACAATCGCTTGAATTGGATTAATAGAAATGGCAGTCTGTTTTAAAAATGATGCCAATGGCAGTGGCTTCATATCTCATGTTCGGTGTTTTATTTGGAAATCTGTTGCTTTTAACATGTCTTGACTGTACTAGTATCAATTCGACCTATTACACCGATTAGGATCAGAATTTTATTTGGAAATCTGTTGCTTGTAACATATCTTCTTCAGAAGGTGACACGACCTCGTTGCAACTTTCTATGAATTGCACAGCGTAGGTACTTGATCAGGGTTGGGGTTTATTTGTCTAGATGACATTGTTTACGTCAAAATTAAGATTATGAGAATCTAGATACCAGAGATTGGTAAGGTGGCTAATTTTTCCGAAAAGTTTTTATTTATATATTTCAGCAGTGAAAGAGAATTATTCTTAGTTCAAACCAAACTGTTGAAATTATCAGTGGTTACACACTATAGTTAGAGAAATATAACAAAGCAGTGATTAACATGGAAATATGGATTGAGCGTGTTGCTCAAACGTGAAGTTAATGTTTTTTTTTTTTAATTGTAGAGGCTTTGATTTATCACATTTACTTGAGATTCAAATTTTAATCTGACACTTGATAAGTGTATATGCAATATACAGGGATTCAAATTTTCAACCATTTATGTTCTAACCTTTATTTTTTTCTTTTTTCTTCTGGTTGGAAGGCAAGCTTCTGAGCTGTGACATTTGAAAATAATCGAAGAGCCATGGGCCGTGGAGTTAGCAGTGGTGGGGGGCAGAGCTCACTGGGGTATCTGTTTGGTAGTGGAGAAGCTCCAAATGCAGGTGCCCGTGCTCCTGCCCGTGCCCCTAATGGTGGCCAAGCACCACCACCTTCTAATGAAGGGAAGACTGTATCGAAACCTCCTGCTGCTGCTGCTTCACCACCTGCAGATGTCACCAAGCAGATTCCGGCTGGTATTCATAGTAGCTCCTCAAACAACTATTTGAGGGCAGACGGTCAGAACACTGGCAATTTCATAACGGTATGGTTGATTTTATGTTGATTCTGCTATTTACCTTGTCTAATCTAACTAGCATGTTGAGTAAACTGCCAGAGAAGTAATTTCGTTGCCCCTTTTGTGTGCCTGCTGGAAACCCAACGCCCAACCCCGCCCCCCCCTGAAAAAAAAAAGAAAAAAAAGAAAAAGAAGTCAATAAATCTTGGATTAAACGTGTGTTGTACCCATATTACAAGACAACTTGATATTTAGCAAACCTTACTTCTCTCCTCATTTTCCTGTCCCTCCTTTTGAGTGTGGTATTTGACATGATACGCCACTTTTTCCTTTTCAAAATATTGGAAATACATCCTACATATTTCGAAAAGAGAGTATGACATAGTTGTTAACTCAACAAACAAAAGTGTGGCATCACCATTCAATTGGACGCAATATTAAATGTTAACGCATGGGATAAAATGAGTGGAAGATGTGCACTGTGCTAATTATTTAATTACTTGGATGCAAGTGATTATGTTTGTTATATCATAGAAGTTGCATCGCAATCATGTTAAGATCTATGATACCCCACTTTGCTCATTCTCAATTTTTCTATTAAGCAAATTTGTGTGACCCTGTTAGGCTATATTACACGCATTCTTTCATTTTTCTGCCTCATCTTTGGAAAGTTGGAGAAATTGCGCATTATAGCAATGACTTATCTTTGTGATTATTTTCTGAACTTGCAATAAGGGTCGTTCGCATCTCTTCAACTTGTTTTACATGTCTAAGGTCTCATAACTCCATAGAGGAATAAGAACTAAAAGCACCACCCAATTGGGGTCGGACACAAATGAGGTTGTAACTGATTAAAGAGCTAAAAAAGAATGACCAGGATGACCAGTTTTAGTGACAACTAAATGTAGGAGGATCAAACAGTTTGATTAGTTTGGTTTGTGGGTGCAGGATCGGCCTTCAACCAAGGTGCACGCAGCCCCAGGTGGTGGATCGTCTCTGGATTATCTGTTTGGTGGTGCTGGTGGAAAATGAAAGTGGCCCAGTCATAACACTACTAAATAGAGTTATTTGACTATCCATTTTATGTGAATTTAATATGATGTTGAAGGGCAATGTTTGCAATCTGAAAGGATACTGGCGGGACGATATGCTTTACAATTTTATGTGTAGATGCTATGGTTGCTTCTGCTGCTCTGTTGTTGGGTTTTAATTCAATCAAATTTTTAGTTTGGATTCATCAAAAGTTGTTGTGGAGCTGTCTGTGTCTGTCAAGGATCTGATCTTTCTTAAAAGTAATGCAAAACTCTCTTTACCATGGCTCTCTCTATGGTCTCTTTTTTTTTTTTATTATTCAGATTTCCATCCTCATCATGATTGAAGTGACCACTTTTGTATGATAATATGATTTGGCTACAGAGAATTTTCAAGAACTTGTAATATTTTTTTTTGCTTACAACATAAAAAGAGCAGGAAAATTGGTCGTTTACTTTACACATCGATGTGTGAAATTATTGGGTTTGCACTTTGCAGGGTTGAAGTGAGGCTTGTGAAATTTAGTTTAAATATGTTTGAACTAATTGATTGTAGGAAGTTAAATTAGATTTATCAATAATATTTGTTTAATAAATTACTTCACAATATGTTTAGAATTGTTTATTTTTTTGGTTAAAAGTAATAATTAAAATTAAAGGAACTAACTAATCAATCCATTTTTTAGCTTTAATATTTTGTGTGGGTTCAACTATTTAAGACTTTATTAATTTTGTGAAATTCAAACCACACACACACACACACACATATATATATATATAAAAGTTTAGTTTAACACTAAGGTATTTTGTTCATTTTTTAGTTAATTTTCGCTCCTTTTTAACTCCGCATGGCTTTATCTCTTATTTCAAAATCGTTCACTCTTTTTTTTTTAGTACAACAAGTTGGGGAGGGAATTCGAACTCACAACCTTGTCGCCTTGACGTGGCGGARGTCATCAGTTCGAGCCTGATTATCCCTAAACCCAATGTGAGTTTTTCTATTTTTACTTGCTCCCCGCCGTGATCGAATGAGAATGGATAAGAGGCTCGTGGGATTGACGTGAGGGGGTGGGGATGGCTATATTTCTGGGAGCGAACTCCAGGCGAATATGAAGCGCATGGATACAAGTTATGCCTTGGAATGAAAGATAATTCCGAATGGTTTGAGGTATATGTCAATTACCGCTGAGGTATGCTCACTTTGACCAAATCGTTCACTCTTACTTATCGTACTAAAAGAAAAAACTTTCTTAATTAATTAGTTTAAAAGAAAAAACTTTTTTAACTAATTAGTTTAAGTCTTAAAGGTGACAAAGATAATGCAATACGGAATAAGATAAAAGTAAGAAAAGTAAATATAAATATTAAATATAAAATGCTTACAACTTACAACAAGGTCGTTGTAGTATAGTGGTAAGTATTCCCGCCTGTCACGCGGGTGACCCGGGTTCGATCCCCGGCAACGGCGAGCTTTTTATCGAATATTTTTTTATTTGCTTTTTTCTCATCGTGAACTGTTCTATTTGCTTTTTATTTCTTTCATATAACCCACATTAAAAGTTCACCACAAAAAATTTCTCTCTCTCTCTTTTTTGCAAAGGAAAATTAAAAAAAATTCCCAATAACTATCATCCGATGGGTCCCCCGTCTTGGCGGTTAGTTAGAGCAATTCATTCCTACACGATGATTCAGAAGCGCATCGTTACCAAACTGAACAGATTCCGGAAAACATTGGTAATAATAATCAGTCTCGGATTATCGTAAGTTAAAACAATTTAATCAGCCGAACCCACAAGAAAACGCCCGATTATAGCTCTACCTTTAGGACTCTTCACTCTCAGCTATTCAACATCACTTGAATCTGGTATTTCCTGTTCCCATCCATCCTTCTTTGATTTCTGCATCTGGGTCTTTTGGCTATGGCGTTCCAAGTGCTTTCAGCCGCTCAATTACGTCGGAAATAGGTTACTTCCCTTCCCTCTCTGGTGCTTTTATCTGGGTTTTGTTTTATTTTACGGCTCGACACAAGATTAGCCCTTGTAGACAGATAATAGAGCTCCTATAAGTTGAACTTTATTGCTGAATGGAACTCTATCTTTGTGGGTAATCGTGTTTGATTTTGGGATCGCAAAGGCTATGGCTTTGAGTAATTTGATCTTGTTGAAGATAATTTCTATTTTTAGATTCGTGTGAAGTCTCTCTATAACCCCCTAGTGCCATATTTGTTCCATTTCTTTCTTTTTCTGGTTCATCTTTCAATTCAAGTTTCTGAGTTTGTTGATGATAAGTCATGGCTCTAGTCTTAAATTGTTCATGCTGAAGCTCTTCTCTCCCTAACTTGATTTCTTAAATTGTCCATTGGTCTTAATGTTAGATTGCATCTCAGAGATCTCTTCAATGATTTTTTCCTTTTCTTTTTGGCAAGGTTGGGTGATCCATGGGAAAGCTGGCAAAATTATCACGTTAGTTGATGCTGGGTAAGCGACCGCCGGCATTGGCTACTTCAATTTTAGACCCTCTGCTGTCAATAGCAGGGAAGTAAAATCCATGGACTCTTTACGAGGTTTGTAATTTACTGTACTGAATCAGAATTTTTTAGTCACCTCTGAATATTTAATGTAGAAGGATAAGACCAATGCTAGGGGTAAAGAAGAGGGGCCATGGAAATCGTTCTTGGATAAAGATTGATCAGAATGGGGACTCGGAGGTTTTGGAACTTGAGAAGGCTACAATAATGAGGCATTGTTCTTTACCTTCAAGAGATATGCGACTTTTAGATCCTCTCTTCCTTTGTCCGTCCACAATACTAGGAAGGGAGAAGGCAATCGTTGTCAGTCTCGAGCAAATTCGGTGTATAATCACATCTGATGAGGTTATTCTGATGAACTCCTTAGATGGATGTGCTGCACAGTACAAGTCAGAACTATGCAAGCGTCTCCAAGCAAATAAAGATCAATCAGGTAAAGAATTAAAATCCATGTACAATTATTTTGTACATCTATACGTTCTGGTTTGGGTATCAAGCATATTATCATAGCTTGATTGTATTATTTCAAATAACATTTATGTCCTGGTGGTAAGTACTGGTAATGTTTGAAGATACCTTCTAAGATTATAGGGTTCAAGCATCTAGATCAAAAACTTAATAATGATTATAGGATTCAGCCGTGAGCGTGATACAAGGACTGACTCCCGATATCCCGGTTATTAAAAAAAGGCTTATACTTCATGGACTCCAAATGTTTCCCTTAGCCCTTTATCCCTCTACTGAACCAATAACAAGAGGAACTGTATTCGGAAGGATTGCAGAATGGACAAATATTTCTACTTCTCTTGTGATGAACAAACAAACTCGTATCATGTATACCGTTATATTTATGTTGAAGAGCAACTAATCATATGATGAATTTGTTAATACCCATATTAAATATATAGTCTATGTTTACTGGGTGATAACTTATCTGTGGCCTATTTTAACTGCTTAGTAAAACATCGTTTGTCTTGTTTTCTGTGTCTTGAAACTAAATTTGAAGTGTTATCACTTTTGGTGGATGTAAAATATTGTTTTACTGAACTATCTGCTAAATGGAAACTCATGTTTCTTCTTCAATATTTAAAACCACCAACAGTGCTATGGTGAAAGAAATTAAAATTCTTAAAACTTTTTGTTATTGCTCTTAGAATTCGTGTAAATACCGCAATAGCTGCTTATAACGATAATCCCTGATTTTGTACAGACGATTTGCCCTTTGAATTTAGGGCACTGGAGCTGGCATTGGAACTTACTTGCTCGTTTCTTGACACACAGGTATTACCTTGATTAAATAAACACTCAAGTATCACTCTTATCTTGTCCATTGCAAAGTGGCACATTTTTGTCTCAGAGCACATGAAGGATCTAAGAGCACAAGCAGTTCGCTTCAGTTTTGATTAGTTTGATAATTTATTTTAAAAACCGATTTGAAACCTTTTCCAACGAAAATCAGGCAGAACCAATCCACTTATAGCCCTATAGAGAAAAGTATACGAAGAATCCCTTTTCAATTCATATGTTCTAGCCATAACAATTTGTGGGTGGGTTATACAGGCTCACACCTGCAATTATGTACTTATAAAATAGGACTCCATATTCGAAACGATCTTTATAGTTTATTGTAGTATGAAGTAGTCACGGTCAGAACGTTATACCTAGAGATTCTTGGATTCAACAGGTGAGGGAGATGGAAATGGAGATATACCCTCTGTTGGATGATTTAGCATCTTCAATAAACACCCTTAATCTCGAAAGAGTTCGAAGATTTAAAGGCAACCTTCTGACCTTGACTCAACAAGTGCAAAAGGTAAGTATGCCAGAATTCGGTCATCATTTGCAACTATGTTTTTTATCGTGTATTATATGTATCATGTCAAATACCAGGTGCATGACGAAATTGAACATCTGGTGGATGATGATGGGGATATGGCTGAGATGTATCTAACAGAGAAGAAACAAAGGTTGGAGTCTAATATCCGAAGTAACTCGTATCTCGAAACCAATTACTTTGGGAAACAGCTACCGAAATCGGCTCCCATTTCGCCAGTGGGTTCTTCCAATGGAACTCATAAATTACAGAGGGCTTTTAGCAGTATTGTGAACTCAAGCAGCTTGATGAGTTCATCGAACAGCGGAGATAACATCGAACAATTGGAGATGCTGCTCGAAGCATACTTTGTGGTCATAGACGACATGCTCAGTAAATTGCTCTCGGTACGATATATTGTCATTTCTTCAGAATGTATGCAATCTTATCAGTTCATGAAATTATTAACTTTTCAGTTCCAGTAAACATTTTTGCTAATTAATCCACTTAATGATCTCAGTTTACATGGTTTTCTAATTTCTAGCTTAGTTATGTGATCCTCAGTAAACACTCCTTTTTCATGAATGATGCAGCTCAAAGAATCTATAGACGACACTGAAGATCTGATCAACATTAAACTGGTAATTCCGATTGCGAAGCTCGATTTTATTTTCTCTTCTTTTCAGTTAGTAGTTAATCACTTGGAAAATGCAAGAATGAATGCCATGGGGAGCTTCTTAATTTCTTTGTGGATGAACAGGGCAACGTTCAGAACCAGCTGATACAATTTCAGTTGCTTTTTACTGCAGCTACATTCTTGGCTACGATGTTTGCAGCGTTAACAGCAGTTTTTGGCATGAATTTTGTCGACGATGTCTTCGAGCATCCAACTAGTTTCCATTGGATAGTTTACTTGACCTTGATTGCCTGTGGTTTTGTGTATGTCTCTTTTCTATTATATTTTAGGTACAAGAAAATCTTCCCATTGTAATTAAGCAGCAGAAAATGGTACGTCAATGTGTGTGTAATGATTTTTTCAGAGAAAATATCATATTTGTGTGGAAACTAATTTGTTTTGGCATGGGTTTTTGGGATTATTTTTCTACGTTTTTGGTCATCTTTGGTGTGTTTGAGAATGGTTTTGTTATTTGATAGTTTTGAAGCGTTTTTTTTACCAAATAAAAGCACTTTCAAATATTTGAATTTAGTTGCATATCAAAATAGTATAAGTAGTTTTTTAAACATTATTATGGGAATGTGATGAAAATGAACCCTCATGATTGCAAACAAGAACCTTGAAGAAAGAGGGAGGTTGGGTAATGTGGTGCAATCTAGAGTAAAAAATCGAATCTATATTTGGTMCACAAGTTTTAATAATTCTGTGATACGGCTTATAAAATTTAAGTTTAAATATTATTTTAATCATGGTACTTTCGACACTAGTCTTTATACTTCTAAACATTTATTTTAGATCAACTTTTGTTCATTTTAGTTKTCTAATTTTGAAACTAATTTCAAAATGTCTATTTAGATTCATTCTTTTTAAGTTTATCATAATTTTATTATTACACTTAATTCACTAAATATTTTTAAATATAACCATAAATTTGAATTAAAGAGTTTTTATTATATTTGTTAGAATTTTATAAATAAATACCAAATTGGTCACTTTTTTTGCAACCAAAATAAACGTTTTAAAAGTACAATGACTAAAATAAATAAATGACTAAAATAAATAAAATAAATAAAAGATAATGACCCAATTTATTAAAACCGTGAGCAAAACATGTCCTAATATCAATACCACCCAATTTTCTCCATTTCACTTGTAAAAAGTGCAGCACCCCAAACCCACAAATCTGAAATATCATAAGATAAATGCTTTCATGGTTAAAACTAAGACAGAAAATGGTACTTCGATCCAATATTAAATAGATGCTTTGTCCTTACACAGTTTATACGTATACAATGAGGCTTCAGTTCGGTTGAACYGACAGAATCCTGAAATCTGCTAAAGAAGGCTTATTATTGGTAAATTGTAGGAGGCGATACAGCATGGATGCATCAACTGTAAGCAGAGAGTTATTGTACTTTTACATCGAAACGCGGAATGTGGCATTACGAAGCAAGCGTGGTTCTGGGGCAACTATCAACTGTACAGGCCAAAATGTCCCTGTAATCCCTTGATATTCTGAAAGAATCATAAACCTTCCCATCACTGCTCTTCTTGTACTCAAACAACAGGTTTGAATGGTCAAAGGCAGTAAGCTTGACAAATCCATAATCATAATCTCTGTAAATACTCCATTTTGTTTGGAGTGTGATAAATGATGAAAGGCTTGCTCCTCCACCACCAGCAACGACATGAATTGTTCCATTCAAGGGGCCCTTGTAGTAGTGTTTCTCCTCATTGGTACAAATATTCTGTGCCAGGAAATGGAAGACAGTGCGAATGTTAGCTGTGTTTATACAGGACTCAAATCTTCTAGCATCTTGATGATTGTACTTAATATATATACTGCATACAGCATATCAATCTTAGTAAGAAATTAGTAACTACGCGAAAAATGAAACAGAGATGATAACTTGGTTTCCGGCCTTCAGTATTCTAAAATTCCTCAACTCTGTTGGATCAACACATCGCAAAATAAATGATTACACTAATTGGTATAATTCTCTAAAGTTTCAATCATGTCAACAAAGACCAAGTTACAACGTAAAAGGAATTGAGATATTAGAAAGATTAAGCAATCTTCATAGCTGGAAATAAAACACGATGAGATGAATCTCTTTAGTTGGTGATGGCTAAAGGAAAAAAAAAAGGAACTATGAAGCTGTTCCATTCAAGTGCAAAATGAACTCGAATCATCAAATACTGTTAAGGCCTACTGTCAAGGTGATCACAACTTCTAAATTTACAATTTAAGAACCTTTCTCCTTTGTTATCAAAATTTCATGACAATAAAAAGTAATATAAGTATATTTCCTTGTTAACAAAGGCAAACATTGGGGGGAAAAGAACATAACTGCGACAAAATTCAAGTACCTGGTAAATGGGACATGTTCTCTCGTAACTATGCACATGACCATATATAGCAAGATCAACCTTATATTTCTGCCAGAGACCTTGAAGGCTCTCACGGCCCATTGGTTCTGAAGATGATCCTTGTTCAGCATAATATGTGCAAGAAGAGTAACCCAACACACGATGTGCCAGAAAAATTAGCCACGGCTGCTTTTGCCTATCAACAGATGCTAGACAATGCTCAATGAACCTGTATTGTTCTGTTCCCTCTCTCCAGTCAAGCTCTGTGTTGGCAACGCAGAAGCGAAACATACCATAGTCTGTGGCATACCTGATGCAGTATGATATATATGTTCAACCGGTTAATAGTGCATTGAAATAGTGAGAACAATGAAAATATGGCACAAATATGTGTTCATAAAGCCATTGTTATAATCCAGTTATTTACTTTACATATTCAAATGTCTAAAGAAAAAGTCTAAGAGAAGGTTATCCTACGGTGTGAACAGGCTTATTCCTGTGAAAGCTAATTAAATCTAGTCGGAAGTTATAATAACAAGCATTACCAAAACTTGGCCCGATTCTCAGCAGGGACATAAAACATATTTTGAGCCACTACACCACATTCTCCCCCTGAATCCAAGGTGTCATAGAAGGATCCACTTCCTGGCCAGTCACGCTCATGATTACCACTAAAACAACATATGATCAGTTAATAAAACAAACAAGAAGAAACTTCCTGCCAGATAATGTGAAGTCATTTAGGGGAAGAAGTACCTAGCAATCATGTAAGGCACTGTTGATGCAATTGGCCCAATCTGTGCGGTAAATTGGTCCCATTGTGAAAGGTATCCATTCGCATAACATATATCTCCAATGTGGAAAACCATATCGATATTTTTCAAATCTTGGATAAGCAGCCTAGTAGTATTGAGAGAGCCACGTTGAAAATTGTTGTATTCATTAGAGCCATCAGCTTCATCCTGTGTGGTATAGTAGATAAAGAAAAGTTCTAAAGACTTTAGATAGTCATGAATTAAATGGAACAACTATGTTTGCCAGAAAAGCAACTATTGGATGTGCAAATATAATAATAATTGGTAAAAGCTTTTTGTTTGAACCTTTTTTAAGCATATAATTGAACGAACAATCTGAACGTACTTTATTGCCAATTTAACAGTGAAAATTTTCTGTAGGATTTTGCAGCATTAAGAAATTCGTATATTGCATATATATATATATATATATATATATATGTATGTATGTATGTATGTATGTATGTATATATATGTATGTATGTATGTATATATATGTATGTATATATATATATGTATGTATGTATATTCTATTTTTGATAATTTCAATTAAATCAAATAGTTGAAAAGCCAAAATTCCATTTCTGACATCTTTGTATTAGAAGAATATATACATATCACACATATATGCCCTTCATATGTTTGTGCCTTCATTTTGGAAAAACTACACGTCATGCCACAACTTATTTCTCATCAAAATAAAAAATAATAATAATATATTTACTAAAATGTCTTTTGAACACTAAGAATTTCCCAAAACATGTTCATCTTAGAGAGTTCATATCATAATTTAAGGTTCTATGACTTGTAAATGTAAAAATTGAGCAAAAGATCCAAACCTTTCCCATGTCACCAAAAATGACGACTCTCTGTAACGAATTTTGACCGGGATAAGGCGGAGCTCTGAATTGATATGTTGAGCTCCAAATATATGTGCCATTGGTTAATCTATGCCCCAACTTGTATGTATACCTGCATAGTAAGTGTATAAAAACATTAACAGACTGCAGTATTTCAAATCCAATATTAATGGCTTACTGTAATAAATCAGTTGTGAGCATATTGCCAATCTCATCAAATGATGGTGAGTAAACCGAGAGAAACTTGCAATTTTTTGACCACCATAGAAATAACTAAATATCACATTAAAATAATTCCACCTAGTTTATGAGATTCGTTCAATCTCCTTAAGTGGTAATTGGTATTATCATCTAGGATGTAGAAAAACTCAGTATAACCTCGCAGAAGAACTCAGCCTTCAAATCTCTCGGAACGAGTACCTTTCATATGCATCTCAACAGTATAAGTAATCTTAAATATCTTTGTTACATTTGGACCTATTTAACGGGACGATCTACAGCGAAGATAATTAGGAATAGAAATTTGTATTTGATATAAATAACTTACTCTTGGTTGGGCCACAATTCCTTAAGAAAGCTGGTGTGTATAAATCCAGGGTCCCGCCATCCCACTGTCCTTGCAGGTGCACCTAAGAATATTTTCTATGAGATGAATATCTTTAGATGAAAAATGAAAAATAGCACAAGTTTGGTTACTTAGAAAAACATGAAATTAGAAAATAACAGTACATCAAATGTTTCCTTGAAAAACGTGATGGCAAAATAACACTAAAGGTTTTTTATATAAGAAAAACGGAAAAAAAAATACTCCAAATGAATTATCTATATCGTATTTGATAAACTACAAATATTGCCAATCTCCCATATAATTGAGCTTTTTACAAATTATGTCGGCTATGTCATTGTGTAGGTGTTGGATTAACAATTATTATTATGTTCATGTACATTTTTAACACTGCATAGGAATTGAGCGGCAGATACTCTGTTTGGCAGGGTAATGATGCRTGTTTCTCATAAACAGCTGTAGCAGGTCTAATTTCAAGGAAGTTGCATACCACACATGCTGTTACGATCAAAGGTCAGTGTCCCTGCTGGGGATTGCATGAGGTCTTTTCCATTTTGGCTCCACTCAACAAAAGGTTCAGCCTCACTAATCCCGTATCCACTTGTCCATGTTACAGTCATCTGAGTATCAGTGTTTAAACCATATCATCTTCATACAGATTTGACAAATAAATCCARAGCATGAGCGATGATCACAAAACTCATTGACGTGTATAAGTATGCGATAGAACCGGTGAACTAATAGAAACTAATGCTTGGTTATGTTGAAAATTAATCTATTCACTAAAAAGGCCTAGGAAACTGTTTCTGAGAACAGAAGGGCTAGCTCATACTTACTTCATTCCAAATTTTTCCTTGTGCCAAGCGTGGGAAAAGTGGTGCATCAGGATTTGCAAAAGTTACTCGATTTGATATCGCAACCACCTTTGGCTAAACATGAAAAGGGAAAGAATAAGATACAATACAATGTATGCAAAAGAAAATCCCCAAAATGTTTGCCAAGGATAAATGCAAGTATAAACATTGAATATTGGCTGCAACAAATAATTGTATGTTGATATGATCAAATAGTTGAGTGCATGTGACAATTGTTTGGTATATGCACACCAATATGGGAGAAACCAGACAGACTGACATAAAACAGCAAGGCACTAGTTCGTCCAAGAATTTTACATCTCATCTGCAGGCTATGCATGCCTTGCCTTGTATCAACCAACAATATCAAGTTTTATTATAGATTTTGAGTGATACCATAATGTAACCGAAACTAAAATAAGATTTTTTGTTCAAAGTTTAAATAACCCTGTATAACAAAATAGTTAATTAGTAACTTTTGGAAGAACTAGATGCTCTTATGTCATCATGTACAATCAAGAAGGATACTGTTTGACCTCTCTACATGAAAAGGGAGTTTTGAAGTTACAGGTCGGCAATTTTATTACCTCCCTCTTGCTCTAAGATGAAAGAAGCCATGGTAAGTATCCAAGCTTTTGAAAAAATTGAACTGAATCAACTCGACAGGAAGGTTGATTTTAGTAGATACAAGAATAAGTTGTAGCAAACTAAAAAAATGTTGAATTTAAGATATTAAGTCTTAACCCAAGATGTCCATACCCCATAAAAATCCATCATCGAAATAATGATAGGTATTATTCACTTGGGAGGTTCAATCCTAAGGAGAGTGAAAAAAACAAGAATACAAATTCAAAAAGTAAGAAGGACACGATAGTTGGGTTCTGGCTTGTAAGCTTACACAATCCAGCAATCAATTATTTAGTTTTTTTTTAGGTATTTTATTTTGTAATTTTGCACGGTAGTGCCAGAATCAAGAACACAACCGCAGCAAAGCAGGAAAAGGGTGAATAATGCTAGACAATAAAGTAATTAAAAAAAAAACCAGTACATACATTCGACAGACCACCAGTAAATAATGCGAAAGAGAAGTCTGCTCTCTGGTTTATCAGCTGAAGTTTCAAAAGACCTCGTCCGGAAGTTTTGTACTTGGGATTTGTGTAATTTGCATACAGAAACTGCAATAAAATTCATCCAATTGGTTGATTATTTAACTCTCTACACTGCAAAGAGAGGCTGATTATAGACGCAAGTCACGCAACAACATCAAAATCAAATGGAATGGACCTTGATAGGTGCAGAACACAGTAATGGAGGATATACTCTTGGATTCTCCACAGGGCAGGTGGAGGAACTGAAACAGATAAACAAAATTTTCCATTCAATACATGAAATAACCAAAAATCAATTGAAACCCAATGCAGATGAGATAGGCATATGTAAATTTTAGAGTATAAACCTGAAATTTGCTGGAGAAAACACTCCAATCCAATCATCATAGGACGGGTCTGGAGAACTATACTCCAGCGTTACCCATTCTGTATTCTCACCCTGCAGCAGCAAATAGACTTTCTCAATCAAAAGTAACGTCTAAAACAAATAAATGATCACTGAATTAGAACCAAACAGAGCGCCGTGAAGCTTGCCTTCAATCCAAGAATCGACGAAGAGGTTTTAACATAAGCATGCTCATTAAGGGCGAATGTAGTTTTATGAATAGCAATTTTAGAGAGAGGATGGTCTCCATGTGATTTGACTTGTTGTAGTGTCGCTAAAACCCATAATACTGCCAGGCAGACAAATAGAAGGAGTCTCATCACACCCGAGATCTGAACTGAACCAGAAGACCAGAAATCAAATCAGTAAGAAGATTCTAGAAAACTCCTTGCCAAAAATTAGCATAGAAATACTCCATGGCAGTGACAGAAAGTCGCTCAACGCGACATCCACTGTTAGGAAAATTCAACAACAAACACTGCAACAAGACAATCTCCCACACTTGAATACGAGATATGATTTCGAAGTCAAAGTTCACAGGCACTAAACTACTTGAACAAAAATCTAAAAACACTCTAAAAGCGAACTTAAATCTATATTCCATAACCAACAAGAGTCGGATAATGGTTAAAAGAAGGCGCTCAAAAAGTACCTGCAGAAGAAGTAAACTTCAGGAGATCCGAATGCAAATTCCACGAAACTTGAAGTGCTGGAAACTGTTTGCAGACGATTATTGACGATTAACTGGCTCGTTCAATTTCAAATTCAATTGGAGCGGATGATGAGGAACAGGCGAACGGCAATTAGAAAGAGCTTTAAATAATTGAAAGGTATAAGGAATCTTGCAAGTAGATTCCTGCCATTCCCGGCTCTCACGCTACGTTTGCAATAAATTTACGTCGCCGGAAAGTCGCCGCCGGCGATCGGACTTGTCCGGAATTCCAATTTTTACCATTTTACGCGCGATTAAATTAGTTACATATATTCCTCGACCAAAGGGCAAACCACACCCCCACATGAACTCAAGGAAAATTAGAAAAAAAAATATAAATATATTATAATGATAATAAATTATATATATATATATATATATATATTTTTTTTTTCAAAACGAGTACTCCAGTAGGTATATATCTCTAATCAATAAGTTATGAGTTCGATCCCCACCCCATATATTGTACTTAAAAAAAGATCGGAAAGATTCAAAGTTACCTAAGTAATGTCATAGCCAATTGAATTAATGTCATTCAATACTCATCGAAGGAAATGAAGTTTAGAGAATTAAAATCTTGAGATAATAAAATAGAATTACATAGGAAAATTAAATTTGGTTTCTATGAAATACATATATAGAAAATTACAATCAACTTATTTTTAGTATACCATTTTTAGTTTAATAATTTTAAAGATGAGGACAAATAATTTATTTCCAATCCCCTAAATTATGTTTATATTTGATTTATGTTCTAGTATTATTATTGTTTATTTTTTTAGGCCATGTTCTAGTATTATTGTGTTTAGCTGTTTAGAGAGACCAATTTTATTTTGACTACTTGAGTTACATTTSATAAGTAAAAAGATGATTTAATTAAATTATAATTAACTTTAAAAGAAAAATGATGGTGAGATCATGATGAAGTGTTAAAAAGAAATGTGAAGGGATATATTTCCTTTTTAAGGAAAGAAATTGGGTGCATTGATCTAAAATATTAATTTAAATTTAATTTCTTAAATAGTCCAGTTTTAAATTTCGTACAAATTAAGAATGGATAACATCTTGCCTTTTTCTTTCTAATAATACAATAGACGTAAAATATGAGAGTTTAAACATTAGACTTCAAAAAATTTAATAGATGTTATTTACGGCTTAATTAGGTTTATGTTTTTGTGTTAGGATAATTTGCCATATTTGGCAGGTGAAAATGAAATGTACTCCAAGTCCTTAATACATTTAATAAATAATATTATTTTTAACAAGATCTTTGACCTCCACTTGTTAATTCTACCGAGCCATGGTACAAAAAATTTGCATAAATTTATCAATTTCTTATTTACCTCTATCTACAACATTATACCACATATATGATAAAATCAAATTTCGGTTATATAGTTTCTAGTTTTTTTTTCAAAATATAAATAAAGGATAATATTTGACTCGTTAACGGTCATGACTAAATTTTGTCTTTTTCACCACAATTGAAAAATTGACAATTCATTTTATGTAAAAGTTTGTTTTTACATTTATTTCTCTTAATTATAAAAAGTTCAAAAGATGGTGAGAGCATGATTTCTCTTTAGGAACCAAATATTTTTATAAATAAAAATGTATGATAAAAAAAATTGAACATTTAAATAAAAATTAGTTTTTGATTAACAAAATCAATCATTTAAATTAAAATATTAGATAACAAGAGACACTAAATGCTTACCAGAGCTCCATTCTATTATTTTTCATGCATCTCCTCATTTTGTTCCTATACTTAATAAATTGCTATTTTGATTAAGAAAAGAACATGTTTTTGTTTTTTTTAATAAATAAAAAGTTACGAAGAAGAAACAATGATCTGTGACGTAATAATTTGACTGATTGACGAATAACTCTTCAGTGTTGTATTTATTAAATTAAAAAAAAAAAGAAAAAAACTACTCTTCAGTTCTCAGTTCACTCGTTGGTGTAAACCTAACGCTGAACTTCATTCCCGGCAGAAATTCGATCATCTTTTTCCGATGTTACGAACCCACGAAATCCATCGGTTCGAGGGGGCGATCGTTTCTGTTTGTTCGTCTGATTAGTAGGAATCTCACCATCGACGAAAGACGCAGCTCTGAATTATAAGGCGAACATAATTCTGAGGTGGCTTCCGAACTATTTCTCTAATGCAATTCCGATCGATTGTGACTATTTAGTTTGAGAGCTCATTTTATTGAATTGAATTAGAGTCTGCGGCCTTCGAGCTTCGAATCACTTCATATGGGTGGGAAAAATCTTCAGCCGGAGGTCGTTTTGGAAGAATGGAATGGTTCTTCTTCATCGGAGCTTCGGAAGACTGCTACCATATCCGCTTCTCCTTCCCTCTCCATCCAAAGGCACTCTTCTGAGTCCCTCTCCCGCTCAGATTCCTATCACTTCTTTCGAAATTTCTCGATTGATATTTTCTTGCTTTTCTTCAATCTGTAGGTCTGGTTCCCGTTTCCGACACGTGGGGAGACGATTCTTTGACGCGTTTGTGCCGGAGGCAAGCTTGTGTTTGGATTTTTACGAGACTCTATGCAGTGTTCTTTGTTCGTTTGCCTTTCTTATTGTCAATTTTTCGTGTGATTGCAGGGGTTTCCTAGCAGTGTGACCCCTGATTACGTTCCTTTTCAAATATGGGACTCATTGCAGGTAAGAGTAGAATTTACTTGTTTTCTGCCTATTACATTAGGCAATCTTATGTTTTATGCAGTAATCTTCCCCAATGAGATGTGTGAGCTATGGGTTTCCTGCTATTTTAGGGTCTATCAACATACATAAGGACCATGCTCTCTACCCAAGTACGGCCTATTTTTAATGTTGTTCTCTTTTATGTGCAATTCAATTTCTTCTAATTTAAACAATTATTTACGTCTACTCTTTCCTAGGCTCTCCTGAGCGCCATTGGGGTTGGAGAGAAATCAGCGACTGTCATTGGTGCCACATTTCAGGTAAAATTGTAATGAAACTTCCAATGGTTGATCCCATGTTTTTTTGGGGCTCGGAGAAAATAGATACTTGTAATGAAGAATGATTTTTTCTAACATTGCAACCCCCTCAGTGGTTTTTGAGGGACCTAACAGGAATGCTTGGAGGTATATTATTCACATTTTACCAGGTATGCTACTTTTCTGTACTCGTCAGTAAATATCCATTTGATTAACTTCTATGAAAATTTTTTCCGAATTAGCCTGAATAAAGGATAAGTTTTTTGGATGCTGGTAAAATTTTATACTTCAATTTTTCCTTTTAGTCTCGATCTTTTAATAGTACAATATGTATGGAATTCAGGACTCGTGGAGTTGGTATAGGATTCTGTTCACCATTTTTATTAAGAATTTTCTTTGATGTTTATCACATAACGAACAGCAATTACACAATTCAGGGATCTAATCTAGACAGTAATGCGAAAATGTGGCGCTTGGTTGCCGATCTCATGAATGATCTTGGTATGTTCATCGTTCCCCTTGTTCTTTATCTGAACTTACAGTAAGGTCTCTTAACAGGACATGTACATGTAGAGGCATATGGATGTCTGAGTGTATTAGACTATACCACCTGAATTTTCCTTTACATATAATCTGTGGCGAGTTTCCATTGTGATATATATTAGTATATGTTTAAACCATTATTTATAACTAAGCTATCTAACCTATAACCACGACTTTTAACTGCTACTGCTAGTTTGAATCTTAGTTACTTTTTCATTCATGCTATTGTCTAAAAGTTAGATGTTAATGAAAGCAACTATGTTTCACTTTGACTCTTTATGTCTTTAAGATAACCACCAATTTTTTACTGAAAACAGGAATGTTGATGGACCTTGTTTCCCCCTTGTTTCCTTCAGCATTTATGCCCATTGTTTGCTTGGGGAGCCTGTCAAGATCATTCAGTAAGTCCTTGCATATTTTAAAAATTTCCATGCAAACATGATATAATCATGTAAAGATCCAGAATTTTTCAATGATATCTTGTTTCTACGTTGTTGTAAACTTTGGTAGATAATAGGAGAAAAATTCTATTTTACTCCTATATTTAACCTCAAACTTCGGATGGCATCAAATGAGACCCTAAAATAAGCAGTGAAATTAGTAAATCTTCGGAAAAAAAATTAGAAAGTTACCCATAAACCAACTAATAAATTATATAAAGTTCAACCAACCAAACACCCAAAATTCTATCCAAAAAGTCCAACTTCAACACCAAAGCACCTAACCTTTTTTAAAAAGTATCCTACACAATTAAAAGAAATATTACCTGTAAAAATAACTTCATCTAATCATAAAAATGCCTAAAATCAATCCAATTTTTTAGAAAAATGGAAACTTAAGTAATATAAGGCACTTACTTCGCTACTTGTTGATTATTATGATGGATACATGCTATCTACTAAAGATTGATGGTAATCCATGCATTCAACAGCAAAGCATGAAACTTTGACTTAATATCTTAACGAACTGAATGGAATCCATAATTCTAACTTTATATTTTTTATCCAAACAGCTGGTGTGGCAAGTGGAGCTACTAGAGCTGCTTTGACACAACATTTTGCCCTTCAGAATAATGCTGCTGATATATCTGCTAAGGTATACTGTAAGCCACTTCCCAGGTGAAGAATGAACTCTGATCCAGATATACTGTAATGAAAATTGTCATTTTTGCACTAATAGGAAGGAAGTCAAGAAACAGTAGCAACGATGATAGGCATGGCGATTGGTATGCTTCTTGCTCATATCACCATGGGATTCCCGCTGGCCATCTGGCTTTGTTTTCTATCCCTCACTTTGTTCCATATGTATGGTGAGTCCTTCAACGAATGAAGTGTTGAGACCTGTCTGTGATAAATTTGTTATTTTCTTGAAAAAGCACCTAGTTTTATAGAGTATATTGATATGGCATATAATTATTAAATTTCTGAAAATGATAAGAGTTAAAAGTTTATACCATCATTTCTTATTAATATGTAACTAAAATTCCTTAACAGGCTTTTAAGTTCAAAATAATGTTTATTCTTCTTCACGAAGAGAAAAATATGGAGAATATGTGTAAACAGCCATGGCAAATATCATACGTGCTTATGTGTGTCACAATTTGTAAAATTCTGCTTGTAACTTTGTGCAGCAAATTACAAGGCTGTTTGTTGCCTTGCCCTGACTTCACTCAACCCTCAGAGGTGTTCAATAGCTTTGCGGCATTTTGTTCTGACCGGCAAAGGTGATGCCCGATGTCTTTATTCTTTCCCAGTGGCTACTATTGCTGATTTTGATTCATTTCGTGGATGGCTCAGGGGCTATTTGGGCGTATCTTTTCAATTTTTTATTTAAAAATTGTTGCAAACTAATCTTCTTTTCTTACGTGTATGTAGGTACACTATAGATTCCATTCGCTTACACATGCTGAGATGTGGTTTATGCAGCAAAGCTCTCTTAATTTTACTTCTTTCCTAAAAAGAAAAAAAATCACTGTTTTTCTAATCTCTTATTTAAAGAGAATCTACTGCCTGCGACTAAACCTGCATTCAGTTCTCTCTCCTGAACAGGTTTCTAAGATGGAGCATGTTTTACCCTCATGGGCTTCTTCATGGAGTGTAAGGAGTATTACGATGGCTCATACACGTGTAAAATTAGGAGCGAGGATCTCTTCACTTCATCACACTGAAATGTGAGCTTTTACTTGGACTTCACAAGTTTGTCGTGGTTCCATCATGCAAAAATGCATTCTTAACATGCACAATCTATAATCTAGCTAAAGAGTTATATAAAAGATATGTAAGTGTTGAACTGGGGATACATTTTTGGACGATACTGTTCTTGCAACCTTTTAACTTGCTTGCACCTTTTGTTTTCTTTTCTTACTGTATAGATAGAAAAATACCATTAAATAAATGAATTATAAAGGAGCAGGTTAAGCGAAAGAGTTGTAAGAAAGGTCTTCAATGGGACGAATTGTAGAGAGGCTATAATTACAACACACAGTATTTAAAGGACTTCAAGTAAGAACTCGAAATGCTTGCATTTGTGGAAGTGAAAATAAAAGTGGTTGTCAAATTGTACGAAATAGATTGATGATTACTAAATATGGTAATGATGTATTGTGTACAATTACATTTCTTTTATAATTAGCTGCCTGAATACTGCTTTAAATAGGGGAATAAAAAAATTTCATGTGCAATAAAACTATCAAAAGTTCTGGAATATAGATATGATTAATCATTAAGATTTAAGCATTATAGTTCATCTGTTGCATTTGTCAGTTACATTTGCTTTTATTTATTCGGATTTGAAGGAGCTGATGTATGGCGTAATAACATTATTTGGGTACAGGAAGGAGCTGTTGCGTTTGGCAGGGGCTAACAACAACAAAGGTTGAAATGTAATTATATATATTCCTAAAGATAGGTTTCAAGCTATATTTTACCACTCAATTTGATCATTTGTTGTTTGTTTGCCAGGGAAGTACCTTCTAGTGGAGAGGAAGGGAATTATCAGTGTTGTTGCACATAAAGATGCAACTGCCAATGATATCTTCCAATCATTTGTTCATGCACTTGTTATGGCTTCTGTTCCTGATCAGGAATCTAGGCATTTGGAAAGCATCTCATGGATGGACAAACATTATGAAAGTTTTATTCAAAAGGTAATTTGAAGTTTTCTATGTTTCTGAAGTTAAATAAGTTGCCAGGTTTTCTTTTCTTTGCCTTTACTTTTTGGTTATTAATAGACTGCCTCAAATGGAGCTTACAAAAAACCTCTTCAACAAGACTACATTACAGAGAGGTAGAAATTTGGCAAATGTCCAAAATCAACTCCAAATCTCTTTTCTTCTCGATATAATTTCTCTGGTTTCTTTCCAATAAAACTCCCAATTGACAACTTTTACTCCCACAACATTGCTTCTTCCCAATACATGGACGCATGAATTGCATGATATTATCATGACAAGAATGGTAGGAAAATATTACTTGCCAGCTGCAAACGTATGGGAAAATCATGCTTTTGAAGCTTGCTGTAATTGCCTGTAAATTAGAATAGAGTTGAACTCACTAAAACATAAGAATACAATTTCTCAGCCACATGAAGACGATCTTTTCATTATTTTATAGTATATCTTTGTAATTACCATCATATTTACGCCTTTCCATTACCGTGTAGCTGAAGATATCAGGTTGGAAAACGGATCGCCTACTATCTCCTTCTGTTTGTTGGAGGGCAAACTGGGTCTGCCCCATGGATGAGAAGATTGATTAAATGCCAGAAGCCATTAACCAAAAAAGAGCAGCAGAAGAAGGTAATGACTAATTTGAACGGAGTTAAAACTGTTTCAAGTTCAACAGAACATAGTGGCATATTTACCTTATGAATTGTTTCATCCATGCTTGGATGGTGCAAATCTGCTTACAGATACATTCTGGCCATGTGATCAGCAGTCATTTGATTACGGTGTTTGAAATTTTGCAACTATCTTCCATTTCAAGTATCTCTTTTGACAATACTTTGGCAGCAAATTTTTGGAAAGATATACATGAATTCTTATCAGCAATCTTGCAGAAAATGAGAGCGATGAATAATTTTGGCTATCTTATATATTCTTTGATATTTACTATTAGCTTTGGCCTGCCAACAGGTCAGGAAATTCGTGAATCTTTCCTTTGGTAACTGGCGAGTCATTTCTAGCCTTCTCTTCGGTTATTTTAATCAGGGTGTTATAATTTTCTCTTGCTTATAGAATACATCGGTGCGATGTCATTGTAGGATTTAAGGATAGATTTTGTCAATGGTGTATAGTGATTTTTTTTTAACAAAAGCTAAAAAGCACGATTGGGGTGAGTTCCCCTAACCTCGTCGAGGGAGCTGACTCTCAATTCGAGGTCGAGAGAGATCCCCTCTTGATCAGCAGCACAGCCACCATAAATATATATCATTATAGACTTTCTAACTACTCATATCATCATATATGCATGTTTCTTTAATAAATGTTTCAAACTGGTTGTCCACTTGCATTCCTAGATCAACTAACACCTTTACATCTACTACATTCTTGAAACCATCACCTTGATTTATTATTACTTTTTTTTTCCTTTTAAACAAACACAATCTATCATATCTCAAGGTATCCACATTTTAATAATATACGATATTGTCCATTTTAAGTATAATGTTTTATTATTTGATTTTATCCTACTAGTTTCATATAAATGATATTCAAGATCTAATAGATCCAAATATTATTTGTATCTCCAATATAATCCACATTATCAATGTTGTCTAATATTATAAATAAATAAATAAAGATTCAAGGTTGTCTAATTGTAGCTTATTCTATGCATTCAAAGGTTTCAATCTCAATCCAACTGAATTATTCACACCTAGTTAATAAATAGTGTATATTTTTTAAGAATTATGAATTACTCTTCAAGATTGTAATAGGAATTTGAATTACGGTGAGCGATATTATTAGGGTATTAAAGGTATATAGGAGCTACCACCCGATTTGAGTCCTCCTATGTCGGAAAAAAGAAGTAGTGATAAGAAATGATACCTAACCACAACTATAGGTTAAATTTGAAACAATGTGGGACATTCTTGATATCAAATGCATTCCAAAGGCATATTTGATAATTTTTATTATTTAACATAGGGTCTACATTTCTATCAACTTAAGCCACTACGTCCCAAATGGAATACACAAGTTTTTTTCAAAACTTGTTTTTCAATATTTTATTGGTCCATTGTTTTTTTTTTCTTTCAATAAAATTCTAATCTCTTCTCCACATGTTATATTTGGTTAAATTATCGAGTTCTAATGGTCATGGATTTGAATGTCCACCCACCTCAATTTGAAATTAAAAAAAATAAACAAAACAATAAAAGTCATTTAAATTAGGGGGAGGAGGGGACAAAAGTTAATTTGGTCCCCAAAATAAGAAAAAAAAAAGTTAAATTTTTAATGAATAAAAAAACAGCCTGAAATAGAAAAAAGGGCAGAGAGAGAAAAAAGTGGTGTAAAAAAGAAGAAGGCATTAATTAAAATTTAAAGGGCAGAGCAACATTTTCGCGCTGTTTCCTCGCAAAGAACCAGGAAAATCCAACGGTCCAGATTGAGTCTTCCTCCTCCGCCTCCATTTTTTGCTCCCCTCTTAACTCCCTCCTTCCCCCTCTCTCTCTATATTCTCTTCTGCTTCCTTCTTTTTTCACTGGTTCTCTCTGTGTTTTCGCATTTCCTTTCAATTTTTCTTTCTATCTCTGAAACCATGTCTTCCGCCGAGAAGGAGAGAGAGACCCAGGTCTACATGGCCAAGCTCGCCGAGCAGGCCGAGCGCTATGACGGTACGCTACTACCCGTTTTGTTTCTAGTTCTAATTCTGTTTGTTTCCTTCCGGATTGTGATTCGTGTGGAGAAATTTGGATCTGGGAATTAATTCTTTTTCCTTTCTGCAACGCTTCTGATGTCGAATTGTGACTGTGGTCTGCTTGATCGCTGTGTTAGATGCTTGATTTTGGAAACTTAATGCCTCCGTGATGTGAAATTTGATGCAGAAATGGTTGAGTGTATGAAGAATATCGCGAAGCTGGACCTTGAGCTAACTGTAGAGGAGAGGAACCTTCTTTCTGTGGGGTACAAAAATGTGATTGGAGCTCGGCGAGCCTCTTGGCGCATCATGTCTTCGATTGAGCAGAAAGAGGAGTCCAAGGGGAACGAGAACATTGTGAAATTGATAAAGGGCTACCGCCAGAAAGTAGAGGAGGAGCTTTCGAAGATTTGTGGTGATATTCTTTCTATCATAGACAAGCATTTAATCCCTCATTCCACATCTGCAGAAGCCACTGTTTTCTACTACAAGATGTGAGTTATGTTGTTGCAATACAACCCATTTCAATTTTGACTCTCAGCATATTTTTCATCATCGAATAAGTAGTTTATATCTTTGAAATCTAGAAAGAAAAAGGAAACGCTTGTTATGATTCTAAACCATATGTGGCAGATTTGATACTGATGGATTCCTGCTTTTCTGTGTTTCTTTCTTTTTTTGGACCAATACACCACCAAGGGAAGACTTTACACACCCCAAATTGGGGATACATGTTCTCTTCTGATCATTCTCAAAATCTATCAGATAGGCCGTAGATAGTTTGATGGTGAATATTGCTTGATCTAGCTGTTTTCTTGTCCATCCATTGTTTGGATAGTATATCTTATGTGTACTCCTATGGTGATAATGTGTATTAGCAAATGTTAGTATGGTGTAGTTACATGTCATGGGATGCATGATTTCAGGAAAGGTGACTACTATCGTTATCTTGCTGAGTTCAAGACAGATCAAGATAGAAAAGAGGCTGCTGATCAGTCGTTGAAGGGATATGAGGCATTTATTTTCTTCATAACATTCAAGTTCACATTAAAGATTACAAACAGCCTTTGCAATTATTTGAGGTGCTCCATGTTTTGTGACAGGCTGCCTCAGGCACTGCGAATACCGAACTCCCATCGACCCACCCCATCCGTCTTGGCCTCGCTCTCAACTTTTCTGTCTTCTACTACGAGATTATGAATTCGCCTGAGAGGTATTAGTATTATTAGCCTAGTTTTGAGTTATCATTATTCACATTGGAAACTCTTACCCTTGTAATGTAATGAAATTGTTGTTGCAGAGCTTGCCATTTGGCTAAACAAGCTTTTGATGAGGCAATTGCGGAGTTGGATACCTTGAGTGAGGAATCATACAAGGATAGCACTCTGATCATGCAGCTGTTGAGAGACAACCTCACCCTCTGGACCTCAGATTTGCCTGAAGATGGCGGTACAACTCATAATTCATTCTAAAAACATATCTTATTGGATATAACATTTTCTCTACTGGCTTTATCTGATGGAATCTTGATTTTTGTTGCACATTCAGGTGAAGAAAACTTCAAACCTGAGGATTCCAAGCCTGCTGAACCTGAGGTAACTCAGTCAAATCTTCTCCTTTCGATCTTGAGTTCAGTTTTTACTCTTGATATCACTTAATAAAGTTGATTCATTTGTTAGGCCCAGCAAGCCAAATGAGAGAGAGCCCCTCAACGCATCATCGAGAGATTGGAATTCTTTCGTAAGAGAACTTGAAGAATAGCTCTACAGTGTGGGATTTTGGACTGCACAATCAAATTTCTTGCGGCGTTTTTATTCATTTGGTCCAACTAAAGCTGGAAGGAAAGCTGGAGTTTTTTAGCCAAGCTTTTGTTTCAAGTTAAATTCATCTCTTTCCCCTCATTTCGTGTTACTCATTCGTAAAACTAAGTGAGCTTTGAATCATAACATATCTATTATTGTAATACACTTTTATGATAGTATCGATTATATCCACAAACTTATGTCCTTTTCTTTTCTTTTCTTTTTACAATGCTTTCAATATGATCTTTCTTGTTGCCTAAAATAATCACAAAAAGCAACAAACAAATTGACCTGAATTTGTTGAAATAAAACATTCCCATCTGTAACAAAGATCTTTACCATTTGCAACAAAATACTCCTAGAACTGAGAGCATTTGGCACTTTTGTGGCTCAAGCTTCAGTTTTTTACCATGTTACTAAACAAAAAACGACTATCAAAAACTACTGTATGCATCTCATTCTTAACTTAAAACTTTTATCCTGCAAGGGGCAAGTCCATTCAGAGAACTGAGCACTACACATAGACATTGAAAGGTCGAAAACCGTTGACGAGACATAGACATCAACTCCAGTTGGCCATATTATTCACCAGAATCAAAATCACTGAACTAAGTTTTGCTTCTCTAATTTTCTTGGAAGACAGTCAAACAAATATATTTGAATCTAAAATTCAAAAAAAAGGCATGACCCTAACATTCATCCCGCCAAGATTGAAATTCGTAGGCTCTAATAATTTACAAATATAGGATAACATTTCTTTTTGAAGAGACGAACTTTGGCAGGCTTGGGCATTTGTCCAAAGAGGAATGTATGCCTGCAAAAATATCAACTAAATTTGGTCAACTTTAAAGTGGCCATGAAGTAAACCATTCTTGAGTTTTTATATAAGATGATGATCATGTTTAGATTGTTTTGATTGCATATATTGCTTCTGCTGTAGAAGTTACCTATGCAACATAATTGGTGCCATAGTCCAGATTGAACAGCATATCCTTACGATTCTCTGTTCCCATTCGAATTTTGAAATTTTTGGCCAGGTAATCCACCCGATCATTAGTATCGTAATCCAATTCTCGTATGCATCGCCTTCTGACCTTTTTCAGCATTTCTTTTGAAGGTGAAAATCCAGCAATTACCTGACAAAACAGGTTTTATGACAGAAATTAGCACCCCCACCATGATAAGAAACGTATATCTAATATAATATATATATATATATATAATTAAAAAATTAATGTTACCATATCATCTATGGCAGAGAGAGCAGATTTGGGATCTCGATTGATGAGATGAGCATCAACAAGCAATGAATAAGATGTTGCATTTGGTTTGACGCCCAAACTTACTAAGTGTTCAAACACTCTTGAAGCTTCAAATGTCTGCCAAGTGACACCATCGTAAGCAAAACATTCAGTGTAAATGGTCTAAATATGTGTGATATGCATAAGAAACACTTGACTATACGTTGAGCCTCTTAAGTGTGTGCATGTAGAGAATACGTGACACTTGATTATGCACTTAGTCCCTTTAAAACCATAAACACGTCAATCTAACTCATAAACAGTACTTGTTATCCCTTTTCAGCCACTAACCATCAGTCAAGTCCGTGGAACCCCAGCAGCTAATTGCATGTGTGTTTTTTGTATGTGGATAAGGGAGGGGCTTAAAAGGTTAAAGGCTGACCTTCTTTAGCCTTCCAAAAGCATACATCAGAGCGTTGTATGAATGGATATCAGGGGTCAAACCAAAACTGGAACTAATTGCCTCAAATGTTTGGTAAGCACGATCAAGGTCCCATATATTCGCACATCCTAAAATTACACAATTCAATGCAGCAACGGACTTGTAAGGTGGATCTGCACGGCTTAAGTTTTCCAGCTGAAAATAAACCTAGGAAAGGAGATAAAAGATACGCTCAGTAACTCTGATGAATTAGAGGAAAGAAATAAAAATGCTCGGTTACTATGAACTTCTTAATTTAGTCATTGAATATCATCCTTTCAAGAAAGCATACCAGATATCTAGTCCATGAGATATATCAAAATAAACCCTTTGTGTGCACGTCCTGTGAGAGCCAATTGCACTATACTTACTCCAATTGACTTTTATCATAGTTATGGTCGCTAATATTCTTCTAGACTTCCCACAACAGAACTAAATTATTAATAAGAGCCCATATGGTTCTGACAAAGGAAGCTAACTCCAGGATTTGTACGGAGAAACATATAATATAATATTCTCTAAGATGAAAAAAAATAAAACAAAATATCATACTACAAATTTCATTTACATTCAAATATTAAAAGTGTATTTAACACCCGACTCCACTCCATATTAGTACTGAATGTTCATTGAACAAGTTGAACTGCTTAAATCAAATAAAAATAATGTGTTGTTTGAACAGTAACTTTTAAATAAGATCAAAATTTATTGTAACACTTTATGTTCTGGTTATATAGGAAGACTTTGCAGATGGCATCAATCCTTTTTTATTATTTGAATATTGTAAATTCATTTCTAGACCGATCGAAAAATTCATGCTACCATATTATATTTTATACTATATTACTTATAAACAGAAACATGGAAATTGCAGATTCATAATTATTATAGGTAAAAGGTTGTACCGTGTCCAGGGTCTCAAACCCCTTCTTAGAGCATGCCATAACTAATGGATATAAAGAGGTGAATGGAGAGAACATTTCTTCGCCAGCTCCATCATCAGAATTCCTATAAGCCTCTTCAAACTCGTGTAGAGTAGTAAAGGCTCTCTGCAGATTCCCAAATGATGCAAGAGCATAAATCTTTCCAAGGTAAGATTCAGGATTTGGAACCTTCTTTTGTCGCAATGAGCGCTTTAGAATTGCCCAAGCTGCATCTAAAAGAGAAGAGCTGTAGGTTCTACCTGCAGTTCCAAGTGCCGATACAACCATTCCTTCATCCACTGAAAGATGAACTGGAGGCCTTGCATTTTCACCCCGAGCAATCCATCTGGCCATAAATTCTAGAGCATAATAAGCTAGTTTACTATTATCCTCTTGCATTGCTACTTCAGCAATATAGTTACACAAGTTCCATGTCGGGCAAAGAGCTTTGTTCTGAGTAGTTGTCTGTTACAACATCAGGAAAAATAATGAAGCAATGGGCAAAAACTTCTTTTCTTAGCCATCAATTTAACTGGTTTATTACCTTGCACCTATCAATTACGGACACCAGCGTGTCCAGCCTGCCTTTATTAATACAGCTCCGCACGCATTCAGTGAACACTTTTAATGACAACATATAACCTGATTTTAAAGTCAAATCTATATATTTCAAGGCAGCATCAATCTGATCCATTGCCAACAGCATCCCAATTACTAAATCATATGATTCATCATCAGGCATTGAATCTTCTCCTGACTGCAACATACTGATCACAAGAAAGAAGTTAACGATGTTTAAAGGCTACCATATTCAAATTTGAAAATGGAAAGGAGAAATTACAATCAAGAGTTTCAAAAGGTCAGACACAGTCGCTAACTAAAGTCATGTTCCTGCCTAGTTAGTTTGCAATCCTGACAGTTAATCTCCAAGATAAGGATGAGATCAAGACCAATAACTAAAAAAACCTTCTCTAAAAACTATTACCAGTCCAAATTATATCTGTAAGATTTCAAACTTTTCATTTTTGTATGAAACTTCAAGGCGCAATTCAAGTTAAAAGGATCAGTGCTAGACCCAAACAATGCAAAACTTTTAATTCCCCGTGAACAATCAATAAGAAAGAAAAGAACATACGTCACATCTTTTCAAAATTGAATGTCGAACAAGATTCAAAATCTTACCGTTCTATCAATTTTTCAGCAGCTTCAGTCTCCCTAGCCCGGTACATCGCTTTCAATACTAAATTGAAGGATGCAGTGTTGGGTGAGATCGCATAGTCCTCCATTTGAGCCACTAGATCCAGAAGCTCCCCAGCCGTGGCGTTAACCATCAAGTTAGCCCTCAAATAATTGTTATACAAGCTAACATCCGGCTTATTAGGTTTGCCATTCTTATCCAGCGACCGAATCCAAAACTCAAACAGCTGCTTCATATCTTCCCAGCGCTGGGAAGCCATCCAGTCGGCAAAAACGTTCAACAAGCTCTGAACATCGAGCGTTTGAGACAATGCTTGAATGCGAGAGCTGGGGGATTGGTTGAGGAAGCCGAGGGGGATCAAGGACGGAGTCAGAGAAGAGTTGGGGATTGGATTACGCCAGTTCTCATTGTAAAGAGGGCTACCAGAGGCGGGATTCGGAGGAAGTGGAGTTGAAGGGAGGTCTGGTGGTTCATTAGCGAGCTGAGGTTCTTGAGAGAGAAATGCGAAGGTGGTGATGGGCTTGAAGAAGCAGACATTGTTGAGGTTTGAGGTTCTGATTAGAGTACCAGTTCGAGAGAGAATCGCCATTTTGGACGCCATGGATGGAGCATCAAAGCTGGAGAAATGGCATTTGCAGAGAGGGCGAAGAAGAAGAAGAAGAAAGAGCGTCACCGAGCAATGTTAGGGTTTTTCCACGACCAAGAAGAATGCCATCCTGAGCCTGGGTTTAGAAGGGTAATATGGTCAAATCTGAGTCTATAAACATCCAAATAGTCCACTGCCCATTTGCCACGTGGCATGCCATGGTGAAAAAAAAATATTCTTTTACGTATATAGCTTTAAAAGATCTTCTTTTAATAATTGTAAAAATGATCTTCGTTACATACTCTAAATAGTTTTTTTTTTTTTACACAATTTAGTCCATATTATTTTAAAATTTTCAATTTAATTTTAATGTGCTTTTGTAAAATTTAAAATTAGTTTTTTATTACAACATATAAGGATAAGATTCAAATTCACAGTTGAAAATAAGTGTATAAATCAGTTAGATCTATATACTTACTGAAATTTAGAATTAGTTGATTATAAATTTATGTATGACATGATACTTTATGTTGGTATATATTTTTAAAGAAAAATTTAAATCACCTAAGAAAATAAAAGTCGAATTTTCTCCAACTTCTTAATAAATTTGGAGGATGAATTATAATTTTTTTGGGTAGTCTAATTTATCCTCTCATTTATTTTATTCCTGGAGGATAATGTTAGGTAAATTTATCATCGATCAATTTTAAAAATCATGAGAGAGTGTATAATTGAAAAATGTTAAAACTAAATTCCAACCTTTTAAAAGTTGAAATAAAAAACATATATATTATGGACTAAAGTGATCAATAATATATATTGTTTAGAAAAATAATTATGTATTATTCATTTTGAATAGTTGTTGTTATTCTTAAAAAATAAATAAATAGGTGTCGGTTGTTTTTAGATATTAATATTAAAAATATTGATTAAAAATTCAAACGTTTTACCATGATTATCAACCATTTATATTGGTAGATGGGTTGTTTTTATTACAGTGAAACGTGCTTTGATCGATGACGTGCATTTATTTATTTTTTATTCGATAAATAAAATTTTAATATAGATTTAAAATAAAATTAAACAAATTATTATAATGAAAGAAAATAATGACACCATGTGATTTAACAAAAATAAAATATCTTAAGTCGAACAAGCATTTGAAAGAGAATCACATTTTGTTGTAAAGCTAAAAAATACTAATTAAGGTCCAAATCTAAAACCTTAAAAAAATGGTCACAGTCAAAGTACATAAATAGCTAGCTTTGGGACATCAAAAACAATATATTTATTTGGAAAATTTTAGTAGTTCGTTAGGGAAAATACACGATGTCGTCTCTCAACAGTAGCTTGAATGAAACAGCTTCATCATCTTAACCTTTTTTTTTAAGTTAGAAAATTACCAGACTTTTAAAGATGATAATAGATATCTTATTCACTTAAACTGTGCTCGAATTGACTTCCTCGTCTCATTCCTAAACCAAAAATATTTACATTATTTTATTCTATCATTATGGTTCGAGACATCAATCCACATTGTTTTGTTTATTTTATATCCATAAAAATTAATTTTAGTCTATAATATCTCTAGGGTTGGGCAATCCCTAAAAGAGATCCATGCCCTATACCAACGAAGTAGAAGGAAACAAATAAGAAAATGTTTAGTTTTTTGTGCCAACATAAGCCTAGTTCAGTGATAATTGACAATTACTCCTCTTGAAGTTGAAGGTTCAAACTCACGACCATCTGATCGAACATAAATATCTTAACTCGTTAAGCTATACTTGGCACGATTTAAAGAAGTTAATAATTCAATACATGGTTCCATAATCTATACAAGTTCCCAGCATCGGAGTAGTTATATTAATGGATATAAATGCAACTTTACATGTGTGGTGAGTGGTGAGTGGTGAGTTTATAATCTCCAGGGAATATCAAATTCCACATTCCATTCATCACTTCAACCACCTTTACAAGACTGACGCATCAATGTAAAAGTGAAGTGATTTCAAAGCAACCCCTAAAATTCAAACCTTGTTGTCAATTTCCATTTTTTGAACATTTTGGCTGTGCATCCTACCTAAGCTTGTTTTCTCCTTTCCCTTCTCCACACAATCTTTCTCATGTTCACTCATGGAGGATGATCCCAACTTTCTCTTCTTAATCATCAAAGAAAATCAATCCCCCAACTTTATCACACTCTTATTCTTTATTCTATTCATGTTTGCAGAGTAATTGAGTCAACCTGTAAATCAAAATATATACAACAGGATGATGTAAGGTTATGTATCTCAATCTCAAACTATATAAATTTCCAGACTCATGAATCAAATTTCCAAACTACGTGAGCTTTCAACCCCATGAATCTAATTTCCAAACTTTTCAATCCTAAACTACGTTTCAATCTCAAACTAGATAAATTTTCAAACCCATGAATCTAAATTTCAAACTTTTCAATCTCAAACTACGTAAATTTTCAAACTCCTATACCAAAATACCTCAATCAGCTGATAATGCTCTACTTTTTGGATGTTAAATATCTTGGAATGTCAAGACAGAAAAAGGGGATGGAAGGAAAAAGGAAAAAGAAAAAAAAAAGGTGAATAGAGACACACTGGCACCGCCCCTACATTCTCTTGCCCATTAGAAATCTCCATTCTCCACGACACCTCTCTCTCTCTCTCTCTCTCTCTCTCTCTCTCTCTGGTTTTGCCACTTCTCTTGAATCGCCGATATTTCTCCTCTCCCCTGTTCTCTCTCAGAATCTTCTCCTCAGCCATGGCCATCATCTTGCTCTGCTATCTGCTCTTCATGGCCTTCACTGGCCATTCAAGTAAGCTTCTGGAATCTTTCTCTTCCTAGGCATCTCATCATTTTAAGTAATTCCGCAACTTATAATGGAATTTCTGAAGATTAGAATCTGAAACTAACTGTTGTCCTCCATTGTTGCAAAACTTCTTTTTCTTCTTCCTCAGGCGCGACCTATTGTGTTTGTAAGGATGGGCAAAGCGATCAAGCCCTTCAGAAGAGTCTGGATTATGCCTGTGGAGCTGGAGCCGATTGCACTCCAATCCTTCAAAATGGCCCTTGTTTTCAACCCAATACCGTAAAGGATCACTGTAGCTATGCCGTTAACAGCTATTTTCAGAGGAAGGGTCAGGTTCAGGGTAGCTGTGATTTCTCAGGAACTGCCACGCCTAGCCCGTCTCCTCCTGGTATTACACCTTCTATTTCAGCTTCTTCATCAACTGTTTTGTTTCTGCTGCTTACAGTTTTTTGGGTCTTTTTATCCTTTTTTCTTACAGCTGGAGCTTCTGGGTGTGTTTATCCTTCCAGTCCCAGGTACCACTTCAATTCCTTCACCCTCTTCTCTTGCAGTTTTTGGAGAATTGATCACTTTTTAGATATTACTTTCTGTTGAATGTGTATGTCCCAAATGAAAAGGGGTTTTGAGTTGTTGAATACTTTGTTTACAAGATGTGAATTACAATTGGGGTGGAATTGGAATCGGAGAGGTCAAAGAAAGTAGAGTTCTAGTCTCAGTGATCTCCATTTTTTATTACTGGGAATTTGGGTCTGAACATGCTACATCCCAATTTTCTAGAGACTTTCTTTCTCTCACACAAAATTATCTTTTCCCCTACTTTTTAAGTTGGTGTGGGTGAGAATCTGCTGCCTGAGAAAAAAGAGGGGGGAAAAAGAACTTCTGTCAAGAATCCAATTCCCTCTCTCTTTTCCTAAGTTTGGCTTTGTGGGGATTTGTTCATAGCTGTTGCATCTTTTTCTCTAGAAAGTTAAATTTGTAGATAATATAATCTACATGACCAAATACTGTGATTAAATACATCATTTTGGATAAAAATCTTCCTATGGGTAAATTTTTTTGACAGTAAAACTTCACTTTTACCTCCCTGTTTCAAAACAGTGGAGTAGATCCAGAACCCTCTCATTGATAATGTCTAAAAGACTAAAACCACTTCTTTTAACAGTGCTTTGCCTACTAAAAGAATGCAAGCTGTCTGATGTTGATATGACTTTTTTGTGTCATATTTGCCCTCTTCTTCTCCAAGATATAATTCCATTGTTTAGACACCTATCTTCTAGATTTGCTTTAATTTTTGATGATCCATATCTGCTTCCTTTTTATGTCCAATTACAAATTTTACCTTTGAAGTTTCCATGAATGACAATGACATTAAAACCAATTTCCCTTTCCCTTTCCCCTCTCTGTTTTTTCTCTGTTTCAGTGGCACAGGAACCCCCACCACAACCCCAACCAGCACCACCCCAGCGACCACCATGCCCGGCACCACGCCGGGAACCACCACAAACCCATCAACAACACCACCCTCAACCATGACCCCAGGCACCACCTCCCCCTCGGTGTTTGGCAGTGGGATAAGCCCAACGGGTGGCGTTGGGAGCAGTGGGAATAGCATTGATGGAAGTGCTGCTGCAGCTCTCACTGCAGCAGCCTCTAATTTCTTGTTCTTCACAGCCACTGTGGCGTTTTGGTTGTCGCTCTTCTTTTAGGGAGGTCCAAGGACGACGACAATGGCGGCCATTAGTTTTATTTGTTGGATGGAAGGAAAGCCAGGAACGTTGTTTTCTAAAGTTCTAAAAAAGGGTGGAGAATTTGATTCCTTATTGAATGGTGGTATGATTTTCTACTGGAATGGAACCTGATCCTCTTAGATATTTTTCACTTTTGTATATCTAATAGAGGCTGTATTTTCCTTAATTTAATGGGACTTTGTACCCACTAATCAATAATTCTGCTCTTTGTTCATCATTAATTTCTTTTTTCTTATAATAAAGTTCATGGGGTTTTTATTTAAGCGTACAATAAGCAGAGTGGGAAATTCGAACTCATGACCTCTTGGTCAAAGATAGATGTCAATTACTGCTGAACTAAGTTCATGTTAGCATAATAAAAATAGGTGTCAATTACTGCTGAACTAAGTTCATGTTAGCATAATAATGATAGGTGTCAATTACTGCTGAACTAAGTTCATGTTGACATAAAATTTATGACTTGTGTTACTTTAGGTAAACTATATGCTATAAGAGTGGTTAAATTTTATAAGGTTCATATTTACGAGGTGAATGGAGGATAACACGGGTGGGACAAGATGCGGATTGAAGACACATGATACCCAACTTTAATAATGGATTTATTTTTTATATATAAAAAAGATATATATATGTGTGTTTGGAAACTCATCCAAACAATACTTGAACATTTGGTGGTAGCGCTATGAATAGACTAATGAACTACCTACCAACTATATTTGGTTGATTACAATAGATTCGTGCCCATATATGTGATGAGTAAGTGCTTACTTTAAAATCTGATTGATAATAATTTTATTTATAATTTTCTATTTTTTTAAAATTTTATTGGCTTATGGATTATCTATTTTTTTAACTGTGTTTTAATCCTAGTTCAATTAAAAAATAAATAAAGACGGAGTCAAAGAAAGTCTATTTGAACTTGTTATGAAAATAAATTTTAGAATAACAATGACTTGACAACCATTGCAGCCATTGTCACTTTTGCTGCCTGATTAGTTAATCAATTTCATCAATTAGTCAATTAGAGGTAGGAGTAAGAATTAAATATTCAATGTTTACGAAGGTTACTAGTAGTGTAGCTTAATTAGTAGAACTATGTTCAAATTGACCTGCTGTCGTAAAAGAATTTTCCATACAACCACTTATATTTTCAAGTTCTTTACCATATCATTATCATCAATCCCGATTTATCAAAAGAGATACCTACCCAATAAGTTAAAGTTATTAATCTGCAAAACAGCCAATACACAGGATTTCAATTTTTTGAAAAAACCTCAAATTCAACCTCCAAGAATGTAAATGTGAAGAAAATCCAACCATTGAAACTCAGTCCATAAACTTATATCTGTACATTGGCCACAGACTCAGGACACAGGCCCATCCATTTCAAAATTTTCTAGGCTCAAAAGACCCATCACAGCTAACCTAGAATCAAACGAAAGTTAGCTCAAACAGGAGTTAAACGGGTGATAATTTTAACCTTGCTTTTTGATCAAAGATATATCTTTTGTTCAGGTTGATTTTTATTTTCCTCATTTTGAGGCAAGAGTACCTGCCTATCTGGATCAACTTACCAGAAAACTAATCCAATGGGACAACAATTTAACCATTTAAATAGGTAGCTATTATGTAATTTAACCCAAATCCCCAAAGTTCCTCTACTTTTTTAACTTGACCCATTTAACCCATAACTTCGAAGTCTTTACTCTTCTAACTTGTCTCTTAGACGACTAGACCAACTCTCATGTAGTTAACTAGTCCTAGATTTTGGAGGGAGGGAGGGAACTACTTCCACCATCATCTGGCAAAGAAACACAATCAGAGGCAAATATTATGGAGTTTTTGGTTTAATTTGATTTCCACGATGTTATATTTTACTGGATTTCAACATGTAGAACACCTTCCAGCCCTCACTGCACAGCACACGCCAGGATTGACAAACCAGAGGCAGAATGAAGAAAATCCATTAATAGGATTAAACAATGTAAGCAGGTGCAAAGAAAAGTTATCCACTATTAACATACTGAACCTCTTTTCTGGAATCTTCGTGAACAAATTGCATAATCAATTTGGCAACAAAACTTGGCTTCTCGACATGAGGAAGGTGGCCGCATTCAGGTATTTGACGAATAACTGCATTTGGCAGTTCACAGTGCAACCTCTGCATTGCATTTTTAGAAAAATCATGTGGTGAGGTTATTCTAACAATAATGATTCAATGCAAAAAGGCAAAAGACGATAAAGCCACTTGGCACTTAAAAAATAAAGGAGCTTGGGGAAGGAATTGATTTATGTCCACCTACCTAGGATTTAAAATCCTATCAATTTGTTGGTAATCAACGTAGTAGGGTCAGGTGGTAAAAATAAAAGATTTTTCTTGTTTGCTATATCCTTCACGGCCTTTCTCACAATATTTTCTGGCAACCTAAATCAATTTTACCTGTCTCATTTTTTAGAATTGCAATAAACACTAACCACTGCAAGTTTGTTGCTGATGATTTGATCATCCTCGCCCCATATAATAAGCGTCTTCTGCTTCACCTATTAAACCAGAATTACCTAAAGATTCTCAAATTCTGATAACTGTTTTTTTTTTTGGTTAGATAAAAATGTTAATAAGATAATTGGCAAATAAACCATAAGACAAGGCATTCATTCTTATTTCTTCAACGACATTAAAGAAAAGTCATTTGAACTACCCTTTCTTGATGAGGAATGAGATCTTTCCCTACCTCACACTAACATACATACAACTTTTCATTGATATGGCTGATGCGACTTCATCAGACATATAATATCAAAGAAATTGTACTAACCTTTTCAATCTGGCCACCGACATCATATCCTCCACTTGACATAAATTTAACAGTCGCATCCTCCCACCAAGGCAGTAAACAATGCAGGCGGCCGATCTAATAAAATATTAGTAGGGATAGAAGAAAAATAGTAGGATCAGGGGGTGAGTCGATTGGTTATAAACACATAGCATTTAATCTTTATGTCAATTAAGCCTTCAGTCTAACAAGATACACGTCGAGTCAACAAGATACGATAATTTATTCTCCTTTATGCAGGAAAAAACTTACATTGCTCCAATCCAGGTTGGTACTAAATGATATGTCAGTGAAGGCTAAAAGATTCACATATACGCGCAGGGGAACGCTCTTCAATAAAAATACCTGATCAAAATAAGCCACTGCAGTTATGACAATGCCATACAACAAATCAACCTAGATAACTCTCGCCATAAAGATTTTGCAGAAGAATTAATACGAAAGTTTCTTGGTGGTGCTACGCAATATCTTTCATGTTTTCCTGTCAAACAAGAGTTTGTGGTTCTGTCTCGTAATTGCATAAATTAAAACTATGAAGGAAAATGCTTAGCTAGCACACTCGATGGAATGTTCAAAGAAGTGAGCAAAAACTCACCCCAGCATAGGCAATCAATCTTGGTAGAGTAGCTAAGTTTCCTGTACCTTCTGCATATACACTTGCATCAATCAACACAAGCCTATCAACCTGAAATCATCCCATTACATTAAACAGAAAACTCAAGGATAACTTTGAGTTGGGATATAACTTAAATTTTGTAGTCATAAATTTGATTTGGAGATACTTACAGCTTCTGGATGATTGACTGCAAAATCAATAGCAACAGCAGCGCCAAGGCTGGGTCCAACCAATACCATTGGCCTTTTAATATAAGATTTCCAAAGCTATCGTCAGGACAGAGCAAAAACTTAGTTAGTTTGAACATAACCGGGCAAAATACAATTGGGATCAACAATCAGAAATTATGCAAAAAAAGATAAAAAGAATGAAAAGAACAGGATAACTATGAACAAGTCTATAGAAACGACAGCAAAATGAAATAAGCTAATAGCAATGCTGTAAGTGTCATATTATTAAAAGAGCACAACAGGGTATGTGCTTGGAAAGTCCAATTATGATCATATTGGAAGGAAGCATAACTGGAATTGAAGAGAACATTTCCCCAAGTACATAACAGGAAAATCATCTTATTTTTAATAAGAATAACACAGATCTTAATAGAACGTTTTCATCACCTGATACAAATGATCGCGTTTAGAAGTCACGTCACATGGTGGCAGTCTTTCTATCACATGCAACTGCGAAAATTAGAGACAGAAATGATGGGAATAACGATCAACGAAAAGAGGAATACAGCCATTAGACAGACCTAAATCAGAAAAGCCCCAGCCAAGAATGTCGACAGCCCAGGTTTCTAAACCAGCTTCCTCGAGCAATGGATATGTGTATCTCCATTCTAAACAGGAGCTGAATATAAGATGTGATGAACGATGAAAGGATAAACAAAAAATAAAATAAACAATTGTGTTGGATTATTGTAACTAGTAAGTGAAGGAACCTGTCAAACCCATGGAGAAGAACCACTGGACTTGCTTTGCTCTGTATTGACGGCTTCACGAAACTGCTCATAATACAAGTGTCAGAGAAGCTGACCTGCATGCAGAGCGGGAACAATATAAGTCAGATAAGGAACACAGAAAATCCCTCAGAAGTAAAGAACCCTTTGATCAAATTGGATGGCAGAATGCCAAAAGAAACATGGCTTTATCTCCCTCGCATGGCGAGGTCCAGTTTCCATTTTCCCCAGCCTATCCCAACTAATTAGCACGCGACTGGACAACAACCAAATAGTATGAATTTTCAAGAGAATTCGAACTTACGGGTAGCCTCTCAATTCTTGTAGCGAGCTTCCGAGCAAACTGGTCTTTGATATTCTCAACTTCTTTGGGAAGGAATGAAGGAAATTCGTTAATGGTGAACCCTAGACGCTTCGGTTTCTTCCATTTCGTGTGCAGTGGAGCGGAGCCCAAACTGGAAGCCACTGTTAGAGCGAGCATCTTCTTCACCAGCTATGGCGCAAGCGCGGGCAAAGGCTCTATCCAATCCAAACCAGGGGCTGTTCTATTTCATAGTTAAATTACAAATTAGTCCCTGTTGCGTTTATTTTATCCCATCCCACCCCTGACTAAATAAACATTGTAATTTAAATACGGTCAAAAGGAAAAAACATTCTTCATTTAAATATTGATCTTACACATTATTTTTTACGGCCATTTTTTTAATACAATAAATTGGGGATATAACTTTCGAACCTACCGCCTCTAAAACGAAAGGAGGAGATGTAATTAGAGCTATGTTAATATTGGTGTTTTGACCACTATTTTATTTTTTGGTTATTTATTATTCCCTTTTAAATTAAATTTGTAAACTATACTTTCATTCACATATTTATTTGGTTTTGTATATAATTCTAAAAATATTTTCAAAATTTAATCTAAAATTTAAAAACTAAAAAAATCATAATTTTATTTTTGTTCTTAGAATTTGACTGRGAATTCAAATGTGTTAAAACACATCAAATAAATTTTGAGCAAACAACCATTATTTTTTTAAACATAAAATTAAAAATGAAATGGTTATTAACTTGACCAAAATAAAATAAGGATGAGTATGAGTAGTGAAAAATATTAGGTGAGAGTGGTTAGGAAGCATAATACATGTTAAATAATATTTTTAATATGTTTCGCATTTATTTTGTCAAAAAGATATACCATCTCACGTCACACTTGATGTATTATGCTAAATATTACTAATTGATCTGGTTAGCACGTTCAACCAACATTATTCTTAGGAATTTCAGTGAATAGAAATTCAAATCAATTAATTTAATTTGTATTTGTGTATATAGTGTAAAAGTCATCTAGCTTAGTTTAATTATTGAATAATTGATAATCTCCTCAATTCTTATTGAACAAAACAAAAGGCAATATATTAATAGGAAAATTTGAGGATCATCCAAATAAGCAAGAATACTATTTCTACGAAAAATACCATTTATGGGTATTTCAATCGAAATATCGGAAGGGAATGATAGCTCTTTTTCTCGTTCTTGAAGTGCTTCAAATTGAATGATGAATCCATTTCTTTGCCTCTTTGCCAACAAATCATAATTACCGTGGAAAATAGCAGGATATGTGAGATTACATTGACCCGTACATAGGATTGGATTAAGTTCTSAATAATAAGGAATTCTGCTTTCGTTTTTACCAGAGAGATCCGAACTATAAAATTTTTGTCTCACTTTATCGTTATTTACTAAAAGACTAGAAATATATCTTCTTTTGACAGAAAGASAATGAACGTTAATTTGATCTTGATCCTTGTAGAGTGAAAARGGGACTACACTGCATTCGCACGAACCTCCCAATAATATCCATAAATGACTTGTTTTTGGTAAGAGATGGACAGGATAAAGTATCTCATTGATAAAGAAGCACCGTAAAGATCAATTAGTCAGGTTTTTGGCCGATACAATAAAAATTGCTTACTTATATCATGATATAAGATCAAAATGAAGGAATCCACTTATGTAATAGGGTGGATCCCCTACGATATTGAGTAGCGGTGTAGCATTAGATYCCAAAGACAGTAAGTCTTTTCTTTCTTATAAAGGAAAGTCTTTTTCAATGATTCTATATAAATTTCTAGATGAAACAAGATAGTTATCTTTCAGAAAATTGTAACAATAGTGGAATGCCTATACTTTATTCTTCTGAGTTAAACTTGGAGATGGAAGTCTTCTTTCGTTTCTCGACGGTGAAGTAAGACTAAGCTCATGAGCTTATTATCCTAGGTCGGAACAAGTTGATAGGCTCCCCTTTTTTACGTCCCCATGTCCCTCCCGTGTGACGACATGGGGACGAAAAAATGAAAGAGAGGGATGGGGTTTCTCTCGCTTTTGRCATACTCCAGCCATTGAAGAGAGAATAGAAGACATAGTGTTTTTTTTTTAATAAAAAAAGTAAAAACCGAATAATTTCATTCAATTATAAAAAAGTTATCTTTAATTATAACAAGTTATTATTATAATGAATAATATAATAGTAATCATGGTTAGAAACTCAAATTTTAAATTATGCAGTGGAACATTTGTTTATTATTTTTATTTTAGAATTTTTAATTCTCTAATTTATATATTCTATAGATATTATTTTATTCTAGATTCTATTCTAATCAATCATGATAGATTATTCTACTACTACCTTGTCTATTGAGTATAAGAGAGCAAATGATGGTATAGCAATGAACATTGGGATGATACTACGAAAAATGGTCCAATGAATCTCGATAGTAGTTCCATGAACAATCCTTTGCGGTATTTTATTKTTTTATAGTGGAAATGCCATAAAGCGCGAACCAAGATCCGTGATACGAAAACAAAATCAGAATGAGGAAGAAAAAGATATCGTGATGTAAGTTTATTATTCCTTGCATGGTTCCGCTACTACAGGACACTTACCTAGCCAACATTTAGATCCGACTCTACCCAAACTTTTCTGGTTTCGCTACAACACCTGCTGCTCTAGCTAATTGTCCCTCTTCCCAAGTGTGATTTTATGTTATGTATGTCGGTTGAAGTAGATTCTTCTTTCGATAAACAAAATTGATGAGTTAAAGTAAAATACTAAAAATAAAGACAGAGAAATTAAAGGACAAAACAGACTTTAGGCTTAAAAATAAAAATAAACAACTAATTAGCTGTTGACTATAAATGGAGCTGCAGACAAAGTTTTAAAATAATCTAATTTTAAAARTAAATTAAAAAATAATGTTAGTCTAAAAATAACTGCAAAGTAAATGTAATTTAAATAAATAAATTCAAATGTAAGTTAGGTTTTTCAAAACTATTGACAAAAATAGGTTAGGTCAAAATAAAAGTCAAAACTCGCCCTGTGAGGCAAACGTGTATATTTGATTGGGCGGAAATTGCGTACATTGTCCGCGACTTTCACTTTTTTATTTTTTTATTTTTGGAAGTCGCCTACATTGTAGGCGACTTCTACCTTTTTATTTTTTTAATTTAATTTAATTTATATTTTAATTTATATATTATTATTTTATTAATATTTTAATTTATATATAGTTATTTTATTAATATTGCAAAATTTAATTGAGACGTGATTAATTTTTTTGTTCATTTGTTTTTTATTTTAAATTTTAATTAGAATGTCATTTAAAGTCTAAAAGTTTAAAATTATATTAAAACCGATTAAAATGTCATTTGGCTTATCATGTTTCATCTTCGTATGTTCTATAAAATAACATTTAAATTTAATATAAACTAAATCGATAAAAAATTATTAAATTAATAAAAACCTAAAAGTCAAGGTATAAATTACATGAAACCAATATGTTCTGTCATTTGCATGRCGAAATATATTGCTTTAAAAACCTAAATTTTGGGATATGTAAGGGTTTTGTTTGTTTTATAATTATTTTGTTTAAAATTATCGCATTACAAGAATATATCCATCATAGTAGGTAATTCATAAACTATTTTCCAAATATGAAAAAATTAACATGATGGTATTCTTCTTAAATTATGATTTTTTAAATAAAATAAAAAAAGTAAAGGGATATTAGTGAGAAGTGCA